AAAACCTGGTTGCTTCGGTATGCTCTTTCTGCGAATCATCTCGATTGCTTTGATCAAAGAAGTAATTCCAGAAGCTGCTTCTCCGTGCCCAACGTTAGCCTTGACGGCGCCAATATAGAGAGGATTGTCTTCTGCCCGATCGCTGCCAAAGACTCTTGTCATGGCTTCCATCTCCATCGCATCGCCTGCCTGGGTGCCAGTACCATGCGCTTCAACAAAGTTGACATCCTTGGGATCTATATCGGCATTCCGAAGCACTTGTCGAATTAAGTTTACTTGAGCGTCGGCGCTTGGATGAGTAATGGAGCTTGAGTTCCAAGAGTAGTTCCTGGCTCCTCTTCTCAAGACGGCCAAAACGTTGTCGTTATCGGCAATAGCGTCTTCAAGGCGCTTGAGAACAACGAGTCCTACACCCTCACCACGAAGATAGCCGTCGGCGTCTTCTCTAAAAGTCTTACAGCCCCCCAGAGTCTTAGAGAGGAAGCCTGCTCGACTTAATCCTGCATATTGAGTGGTGGCGGTATAGATTGAGCCGCCACCAGCCAGCGCAGTGTCGCATTCTCGAGAAAGAAGAGCATTGACTGCGAGTATAACACTAGTAGAGCTACCAGCGCACGCGGAATCGACTGAATAATTGCCTCCAGCCCATTTGTAGTGATAGTTCAGTCTGCCTGTTGAGAAAGGCCTAACTCCTCCTTGTATAAAGAAGATGTCGACGTCTTGACTATTGTTAGCCTCTCGCCAGTCATCAGCCGATTGACCAAAATAGGTGGCAATCCGTCCACGGTTTGTGGATAAAGTTGCCGCTTCTGTAGTGTATCCGGCCATTTGTAGCGCCTCGTAGCTGCACATCAAAAGAATGCGCTGGATCGGATCCATCTGCTTAGCTTCACGAGGTGAAACGTTGAATAATCGGTTATCAAAGAGCTCAGGATTGTCCAAAAAGCTTCCGTAAGGAGTGGTGACTGTATTCTTCTTGACGCCGGTGGGATCATAGTGGGTTTCCAAGTCGAAGCGGCTGGCTGGGATCTCTGACTCGATCTTCCGACCAGCTTGAAGAGTTTCCCAGAAGCTATCAATGTCTTCGCTTCCCGGTAGCCTTGCAGACATACCGACAACGGCAACCAAATCTGAACCATCACGAAGGCCACTTTTTACATCTGATTGTACAGACTGTGTCGTGAAGTTAATGCCGCCGTTTTCTAAAGCCTTCTTGAAGCTATCAATCTGGCTCTTTGGGCCTAATGGATCAAGGTTCACCATTTCTGTACCTTGTAGTTCTGAGATGATGTAGTCGATGACTCCAGCAAGATTCAACATTCGACATGTGATATCCCTCAGTGCCTCAATGAGTACATCGCCGAGAGTAACGCCCTCAAACGGCTGACAAGTACTAGTCGATATCACATGTACGTTTTCTCGTATCGGCAGTTCATAGACAGCTGATTGACCGAGAACCTTGGATATATCAATGGGCTGAATGTGAGGAGCATGAGCAGGAGTTCCTATCGGCACGGTCATCTTGGAAGCCGACGCCAGCGTTTTTGAGTAGGACCACAGCTCTGGAAACAGCGATGGCGGCCCAGAGATAACTGCCCATCGGTGGGCCAATGTGCTGATATAAATATGGCGATGTTGGGGAATGGCCTTTAGTTAATAGACGTTAGCTATTGAAACATATGTAAGAAATGGTAGTATGGAAGGTCAAATACCATATCATCATTGAAAGCATTAATGATGTTCTCGATCTCTTGTGGATCGACACTGACAATTGCCACTGCCCAAGATCCTGGTGCGCTCTCAATCTCATGCGCACTTCTCCATTGCTGTACGCCTAATCGATACGCTACAGGAATTAAACCTCTTCCAATAGTCAGAAGCTCGCCAACGTCTCTAGCAGTTGCTGCTGCGGCAGCTGGGAGGAGTCCAGTGCACAGCCCTATGCTATACGACGGCGAGTTACGACTGGCTTTGAAGAATGATGGGTCATTTTCTGCACGGCTATGTTTGGCATTAGCAATCTTAAACTCTCTTGGTAATGTGAGAGAGATTCTTTGCAAACGTACAAGAGAAGATCTCCAAACTGTGCGATGAAAAATAGAATTGTTGAGACTGCTTCAAAAGGAGTATTCTGTTCAGCAAAAATTTCAGCCAATTCAAGAATACTCTCAAATCGCAAATATGGCTGTTTCTCCTTAGTATCAAGTTCTGAAAGATTGACTTGTACTACATCCGCACATTCACGAAGAAAGCGCGCGATGATAGGCGATGTCCGAGCTTGATTGGCTAGAATCTTGATATTCTGGAGAGTGTCCACGGTCTGGTCTCCGAAAAAGATAATTTGGGCATCTTGTCCGCTCATTTTGTTTTGAGTAGAATGGTTGTATGCTTTGCTCTGAGGACAACTGAGGCAGTCAACACAAGCTTCTTATAACAAAAAAGTTGTCCAACCCTGAATATTCCAGCTCCCAGATTTAAAAATTGCTACTCGATCTAAAATCTTATACAGTCTAGATAAGCTTGTCGCCTTACAACGAAACGTGATAATTCCGCTCGACTGTCTTCATGTACTACTGTATGCGCCAATATTTTCTTATGATGTGATTTCTTCCTAAACAGAGAGTCTTCCTTGATTAATTTTACCGAAATGGTTCGATTGTCTCAATCCAGCTAGTAAACGCAGTGTAATATAATATGAAAGCCCACCGATAGGCGTGTCAAAGTAGATATTACGGTCTCGGTATTTTTCAGTTTAATAAGCATTACTCCATATGATAAGAGTTTGACAACACCTACCCAATTCATCATGAATCAAAGCTGATACCAACTCAGCCTCCTCTATACGAGCAAATCTTGTTCATGTACTGAGTACAAAGAAAGAAGTACATTACATCGAGAAAGGAGTGTGCGGGCGTAAGTGAGTTCCAGTGGAGCTTGATCGCATTTCTTACCTAAAACTTCGGAACATCCTGGCAACTGCGCAATTAGAGAAAATGTAGTACAGGTATTCAAGTACATAAGACTATAAGAGATATACATTAGTATGTAAGGGCAAAGAAGTATTAAGCCCGATACATATAACAAACCATGTTTAACAATACACTAGGAATGTATTCTTCTCATTTGGACAGATGCCTTAGTGAAAATAAGTTGAGATTAAGCAATTTGATGTATTGTATTATAGTATTGTATTGTATTTGTAAAGACATTAATATGTAATAAGTAGAGTTCAGAAGCTGAACATGATAATAAAACATTGTAATAAATATCCCATAAAGGATATGGGAATGCATACCAAGTGCATGCAATAGAAGTTATCCTGGACTACTATATTGTTTCTTACATCCCCTGCTATTTCATAAACGTGTTGCTAGTAACATCTATTAATCCATATTCCCTGCTACTTCATTAATGCGTAGCTAGTAATATCTATTAGATGCGTGTAAGTACCCGTACCTCACACACTGTGATCGGTTTAAAAAATATGACTCTAGCTTCAAGAGGGTAATCTGTGTGTATATGTTTTCCTTCTTATAAGCTAGTTTATGACACGAGATACGAATCTCCATAACGGATGCATCTGGATCCACTTCATTCCGCAGAGAACAGAACACCCCACAAACGCCAGGGTGATCTGGATAGTTGAAGGTAGGACAGAAGACAAATGTGATATCGGTTCATTGATCGCCTTCCTATTATGTACCGCATTAGTAAAGGCCGCGTAATTGTTCCGAAGGGGAAGAGTTACTACGAAATGTTCGTCAAATTGAGGCTATGAAGCTTACATGTATTTTTCTACGGGGTTACTTCCACCAGCAGTATCAACTGCTCTTATGGAGTCAAGAGAGATTTGTCAGTAGAGCCGTAAGCTCACTTATTTTATGATGAACAAATATTTCGTTTAAAGAAATGGCGTGATTTTTGAAACTTGTACAAGTATGGTACCAGAGAATCTGGTTGATCGGCTTTCGGCAGGCAATCATCTCCACAGCCTACAATCAGAAAGATCTATCATAAAGAACTAGCAAATACTAGTACCCCATAGAGAAAATGCATACAAATCCTTGTTCGAGTGATATGCATGCCATAAGCCTTGGCCTACCCCCCTGTTCTGACACGGGTTGATAGTGATGCCTGATTCGGTAAGCAAAATCCTTGGCCGGCAATCGCGACATCCGGCTCCTATCGCTCCTATCCCCACTGCTCAGCTCGGAGCGTCTCCAGCGCCCGTTGCTCCTAAACAGCTTTCGCATGTTATGAAAAGTATCTCACTGCATGCTGCTATTATCCACCAATCAGTATGGGTATATTTTGTAATCTCGAAGCAATATACAAGTTGCTTTTGAATGCTACTCTGAAAATTCTACCTACATTCCACAATCAATTCTACAGCACAGCGAAGCAGAATGGCTTCTACAATGATGATTCTAGGCTATGTGCAACGAAATGCTTTTGATGTCTGTTACTTCCTAGTTTTATCGTTCTTCTCGTACTGTTTCACACGGAAAATATATCATTGTTTCAAACCTGGGCTCCGTGAGCTCCCAGGACCAAAGATTGCTTCATGGACTCGACTGTGGAGAGTCTGGGCCGTTTTATCAGGCATGTCCATTTCTCATGGTAATTGATAAATGGAAAATGTATTATTAACGTTATATATGTCCTCAAGGCAACTATCCACTGAAGTTTCGACAACTGCATGAAAAGCATGGAAAATTAGTACGGGTCGGGCCAAACCACGTATCTGTTGCAGATCCGTCGGCAATCTCGAAAATATATGGCTTCAACAATAAATATTTGAAGGTTTTTAGCTGTAAAACTTCCTCGGTACTTCGGAATTAATTAACTGACAAAGTCAATAGAGTGATTTTTATCATGCTTTCCAAGCTCCGTATAAAGGAAAAATTGTCGATAATCTCTTTGCCACACAAAGTACGGAATTTCATAAATCTCAGAGATCTCAAGTTGCGCACAGATTTTCCATGTCCTCTTTAGCAGAAATGCAGAGCTCGGTTGATGGGTGCACGAAACTTCTTCTTGACAAGCTGCACGAATTTGCGGATAAGCAAGAGGTAGTTGATATTGGGCCTTGGCTGCAATGGTATGCCTTCGATGTGATTGGTGCCATCACTTTCAGTCAACGATTTGGATGCTTAGAGTCTGGAAGCGATGTCGGTGGTTTAATCTCTGGCATCGAAGATGCGCTCAAATACGTCGGAGTCGTAGGACAATTGCCAGAGCTACATCCCTGGTTGATTGGAAATGCTAAGCTTATAACCACAATTCAGAAATTAGTTCCCGGTGTTTCTCCAGTCCCAAATATTATAAAGGTATCATTAAAAGACGTGATCTTTGCCGATGCATCTTAATTGGCTAACTCGGCTACTTTCAGATTATCGAGAGCCAAATCAAAAAGTATGATCTGGAAGGAAAGTACTATCAGAGCAAGAAAGAAGATTTCTTGGCGTATTATATGGGCGATTCTGTCACTGGAAAGGCTCGCATGGATCACGATGATCTTGTCGGCCATTGCTTAGGCAGCGTGTGAGTCCAGATAATGAGTTGAAGATTATGATATTTCCTGGGCTAACAAGACACAAAGATTTGCTGGTAGTGATACAACTGCAATCGCTCTCAGGGCAATATTTTATTATCTTCTTAGAAATCCACGCGCTTACGCAAAGTTAATGGCTGAAATAGACAATGGAATCTCCGCCGGTCATGTCTCTGAATTGGCAACGCTAGACAATTCGATGAAAATGCCGTACCTGTAAGTTCACTCCCCGGGGCCGAAGAATGACTGATTCTCATATCATTGAATAGCCAAGCATGCATGAAAGAAGGGATGCGTTTACATCCTATTGTTGGTCAAGTTCTCGAGCGCTGTGTTCCAAAAGGAGGAGATTACCTTTCCGGGCATTATCTTCCTGAAGGCACAATTGTTGGTATTCACGCGTGGGTAATACACCACGATCCCAACATTTTCGGCGAAGACCACGAAGACTTCAGGCCCGAGAGATGGATTGAAAATTCTACAGAAAAGTTGAAAACCATGGAGCAATGCTTCCTGGCTTTCGGTGCCGGGTCCAGGGTTTGTTTAGGCATCCATCTCTCTATGATGGAAATGGGGAAATTAATCCCAGCCATTCTTCACAATTTCCAGCTAGAATGGGCGTATCCCGAAAAGGACTGGAAACTGGAAACTGTGTGGTTCACAAAGCAGACGGATCTTTTTGTCCGCCTCAAGACTCGGCAAAAAACTGATGCAGAGGCTTGAGAAATACTGCTAAACCTTCTTTAGAGAATACTGAATACATGAATGAAACATGGCTCACTATACGACATACGAATTGAATGTTACAACTCTGATAAAATGTCATAAGCCGTTTAAACAAATAGCATGAACCCAGCGCTGCGTTGAAATAAAGTGTTAACGGCGTTGGTACTAGTGAATTAGTGATTGTAAGACTACATGTAAATCACGGCACTTCATGTTCTCTATGCTCCCCTATGGAACTCAGAACTGGAAGTAAAATCCTGCAAGGCAACTCTTAAAGCCTTGGCGAGGCATTTCAGGGCGAAAATGTATACGAGTATACGAAGGTGTCCCGCACTGTTATTTGTTATCTGCCTTTTGAGTCGTAGTCTGCCGGTACGTCAGCCTACCTATAAAATGTCCGATGCGATTCTAGAGCCAGTTCCGCGTTGGATCAGCTCTAGCGGCTGACTAGTGGCTAGTGCCTGATTACACAGCGGAAGTTATCCGTTAGTTTCCGTTACTCGCTCGCGAGGTTTATTTTCATACAACCTGGTCTGTTGGAACAGGCGGATTCCCCGTTAAGCAGCTGGTTCCGTTACAGCAGTTGCTACTAAAGTGGTTATTGTCTACTCTTTTGCCCTGTTGGCATAACGGTACAACGGCTTGAACGGATTATTACATCTCTTCCACTTTGTTGAACATCGTGTGTGAATCATTCAGAAAATTGACTTACTCTTTGCACTGGGTCCAATATATTAACTGCACTAAGCTTTCACAGTCCACCAACACTTGATTATTGTTTGAACGTTTTTGTATTCTTAAATTTTACAAGTAATTTCTTATTAAATATATCTATTTTAAGCATAGCACTCTATTCCTTGTAAATCAATACACAATATTCGCGATTCACTTCTGCGATCAACTTCTAACTGAGTTGAACGCCAGCAGGTAATTGGGCAATTACAAGCAATTGGTGGAAATAGTGACACATTGTGCTTCCGTCATACGGAATTACCGGGTATCTAGAATGTTACACATGCCTTTTGAGTGCCTCTATGGGAAAGTTACCAGTGAGATGTAATGCTTACAGATCTGCAATATCTGGTATCTTGCTGTCGTGTATACGGCGTGGGTGGATCGAGTGGATCGCGATATGGTTTCGAATTCCGATCCAAAAAAACCCACCGAGCAAGGCCCGCTGTCGGCATATTGGACCCTGTAGGGCTGGTAACGAAAATTGCCATTTATAAACGTGCTTTGTAGCGATTACTGATTGCAGGCATTGCACTGCTATTTGAGGTATCGGGCTGCATACAACGGCATGAAGATAGCAATTGGCCCCCAATGTATTGAAGATTGAAGCTACATAGCAACTATAGTACTAGTGGCTGAAGATCAGTGATATTCACTACTTACCGCTCTATTTCCTATGGTGCTTGCGATTTTACAGCGCGTAGTGAGTGTACAATAGTATAGTATAAGAATCACTGTAACATAGTAAGCAGCCACCGTATTCAAGGGACCTTCTTTTTTATTGTAGAACTGATGCGTAAGCACTAGTAGATACCTAGGTAGTCAAGCTGAAAAACATGTGGCTTCAAGGGGGCTCACAACCTTAAATCTCTGCCCACATGTACAAAGATCCTATTACCAATCCCTGTTTCCAAATGGGATACCTATCCACCTCACAGGTACATGTACAGATACACAATACGTATGTACTACACCTAGATAGCCATTATCTCACTTTAGCACAAACGTACAAGCGGCGGTGCGTAGGCCGAGCTGTATCGTGATTTAGAGCGTTAAGAGTATCTGATGATGCAGATGAAACTGCGGCCGCTGGTGAAGCTGAGTATGGCATGGGCGTGGTGAAATAAGCACGTTCTTATTCTTATATATATTCTCCTAACAAGTGTAATTGAAGTTTTTCTTTGTTTCAATAGAGCTAAAGTCACACAAAATGCGTCTTTACGAGTCCGTTTTAAACGGTGATGTTGCTCACCACCCAGCCTACGACGACAAGTCAATCGCAGTGGTTGGACTTTCTTGCCGCTTTCCGGGAGATGCAACCAATCCTGAGCAATTCTGGGAGTTACTATGCAAAGGAAGATGTATGTATACAGATTAGAGGCAATATGATGTCCTTCGTTAACTCTGTATAGCTGCAATTTCACATATCCCGCGGGACAGGTGGAATAGCGATGGCTTTTATTGTGCAAGTAAAGGCAGGCAGAACACGAGCATCACCAATCGAGCGCATTTTCTCAAAGAAGATGTCTCAGTATTTGATGCCAAATTCTTCTCCATAACTCAGCAAGAGGCAGCTAGTATGGATCCACAACAGCGGCTAATGCTGGAAGTGTCTTACGAAGCATTTGAAAATGCCGGTGTTACTTTGGATAAGTTGGCCAAGAGCAAAACCGGTTGCTTTATATCTGCCTTTACACATGATTGGAGAGAAATGCAATTCCAAGATCCTGACTTTGCACCGATGTACTCGGTATCTGGTCTCGGAACAGAAGTCCTCGCTAATAGAATCTCTTGGTTCTACGACTTGAAAGGGCCAAGCATGACAATCGAGACTGCTTGTTCAGGAAGTCTTGTCGGCCTGCACGTAGCATGCCAGAGCTTACGCTCGGGTGATTGCGATACTGCCCTTGTCGGAGGAGCAAACCTTTTTCTCAGCCCTAACATGTTTAATGCTCTATCAAATCAAGGGTTTCTCTCTCCAGACGGGTTGTGTAAGGCATTTGATGCTTCAGCTGACGGCTACGGTCGGGGCGAAGGATTCGCAGCTCTGGTTCTTAAGCCAGTCGAGAAAGCCATTAGAGATGGTGATACTATTCGAGCCATCATTCGAGGCTCTGCAACTAACCAGGACGGCAAGACAAGAAGCATGACAATGCCGAATGGTGAAGCTCAAGAAGAGCTTATTCGTGAAGCGTATCGCTCTGCGGGACTTGACTTCAAAGATACTTCTTATTTCGAAGCACATGTAAGTCAATACGGCAGCTTGCTTTATTTCTAGTTCTTGATAAAGAGTCGCTGATACAAGATAGGGCACGGGGACATCCGCCGGCGATTTCTCAGAGTTAAATGCAATAGCAAATACCATCACGCATGAGAGAGACAAACCTCTTTGGGTTGGTTCGGTGAAGACAAATGTTAGTTTTCAATTGCTTATTGCCCTTTAATTATTAATACGTTGGTTTACTAATTAGGCTCTATAGATCGGACATCTTGAATCAGTGGCCGGCTTAGCCGGTATTATTAAGTCTATACAGATATTGGAACATGGTTTGATACCACCTAGCCTGCATTTTCATAATCCCAATCCTCGCATTCCTTTCAAGGAGTGGCGGATTTCTGTTCCTACGGAAGAAGTTTCTTGGCCAGAAGAAGGAATCCGACGCATCAGCGTCAATTCTTTTGGCTTTGGTGGATCTAACGCACATATTATCCTCGACGATGCATATCACTACCTCTCCGCAAGAGGTATCAAGGCTCCTCATAACACTATCCCAACGTCTCCAAAAGGGCGAGAAGTGCTCCGTTCACATAAGGAAGACTCTTCTCCGTCTTTGCCATACATGATGATTTTGAGCTCTTCGGACCAGAGTGGTCTGACACGTCAACGACAAACTCTTCTCAAATACTTGAAGGATAATGCGCAGATTAGACATGAGTCAGGCCAAGAATTTCTCCGCGACTTGGCTTTCACTTTGAGTGAAAGACGGTCTCGCTTGCCCTGGAAGACAGCTTTTATGGCTTCGACTGTGTCTGAACTTACACGGGCACTGGAAGCTTCGACGTCACTCGAGGTCCGATCAAATAGTGAACCTCGGCTAGCATTCATATTTACAGGCCAGGGTGCGCAATGGGCCGGTATGGGCATAGAGCTTCTGCAATATCGCATTTTTCGTGAAAGTGTTGAGAGTGCAGAGCGGTATCTTAGGAAAATCGGCTGTCCATGGTCCGTTATGGAGGAACTGCAACGAGAAGATGCGATATCCAACATCAACCAACCGCTTTATAGCCAAACTATATGTACCGTCTTGCAAGTTGCTATTGTTCAACTGCTTACATCTTGGAACATTACTCCTCGCTCAGTTGTGGGCCACTCAAGCGGAGAGATCGCGGCCGCCTACGCAATCGGTGCCATATCACAAGAAGATGCGTGGAAAGTGGCCTACTGGAGAGGTAAACTCTCGTCAGAGTTGCTGAAGTCATCTCCGGACTTAACAGGTTCAATGATGGCTGTCGGAGCATCGGCAGAACAAGCACAAAAGTGGCTCGATGAGCTGACCGAGGGGAAATGCGTTGTGGCTTGTGTCAATTCTCCATCGAGCGTCACAATTTCGGGAGACGAGGCAGGCATTGACGAGTTGGCAGCGAAGCTCAAGGAGCGCGAAATTTTTGCAAGAAAACTCAAAGTCGACACTGCCTATCACTCTCATCACATGCTGGCTGTCAAAGATCCATACACTAAAGCTCTGGCAAATATGAAGACAAAACAAGGGCCACCAAATGGGCCACAAATGTTCACTTCGGTGACGGGACACATCATCAGCGCTAAAGAACTTGGGCCATCACACTGGGTTACAAACTTGACATCTCCTGTTTTATTTTCTGATGCGGTGCGAGAACTGCTACGATATAAAAGCCGTGAAGATCAGAATCATGGCTGTTCTGTTGACATTATGGTCGAAATTGGGCCACATTCGGCGCTTCAAGGACCTATCCGTCAGATACTGAGCGGCTTTGGTGCTCTCAACACAGAATATCGTTCAGTGATGTCCAGAGGCAAAAATGCCGTCGATACTATGTTGACTGCTGTTTGCGATTTGGTGTCTCGCAATTTACCTGCAGATATCCTTGCCATCAATACCTGCAATGATGATTATACAGCCTCTTTCAACAGTCCTCCGGCTCCGATAGTGACTCTTCCGTCGTACGCTTGGAACAAGACAAAGTCATATTGGAATGAATCTCGTCTTACACGGCAAATCAAACAGAGATCATCACCGCGGCTTAGTCTGATAGGTGCTCCATTACCATCTTTTGCCCAACTTGAGAAACAGTGGAGAGGATTTGTACGGATTGCAGAAGAGCCTTGGTTACGTGACCACAAAATACAGGGCTCGATTCAATATCCGACGGCAAGCTACATCGCTATGGCGTTAGAAGCGGCGAGTCAGGTGGCAGATAAAGGTCGCGCTGTCAATCGATATAAGCTCCGAGACATACAAATTCGTGATAGCATTACTATAGACGAAGGTTCTCAGACGGAGTTCATTACGCGGCTGCGAGCTTCTGCTTCCGACGCCACGACTTTGAGTGAAGGATGGCTAGAGTTTAGCATTACTTCCAGCGGCTCCGATGACTCTCTACAACTTCATTGTTCAGGTCTTTTGGATATCGAATACGGCGATTCAACAGGTGCGGCAGTGAGCACAGAAAGCACACATGACGAGCAGGCCATGAGAGACCTTTATCTCTTGGCGGAAGAAGAATGCCAAGTTTCACAAGATACGGAAACTTTCTATCAGGACTTTCAATCTGTTGGTCTTGAATATGGCCCTTCATTCCAAAGTCTAAGAGATATTCGCTATGATACGCGCGGACAAAGCTACTGTACTATTGAGATAGTCAATCACGGCTCGACTCCAGCGGCTCTGCCAGCAGCCAGACCTCACGTTATTCACACCACTACCCTGAACGGCACGATTCAAGCTGCTGTTGCTGCCTTCAAGGGGGATGACGGTAATATTAAAGGATCGTTAACCGAAAGCTATGTCGAGGAAATTGTGGTGAAAGCAGATATTCCTTTCGAAGCTGGTGCTCGCTTCAAAGGGTGTGCGAAAATATCACAACAGTGTTCCTCAGAAGCCGTCTCCAATATCTTTATGCTCGATGAAGGGACTGATCAGCGAGTGATCAGCATCAAAGGTTTACGCTTCGTTGTTGAAGTTGTCAGTCGGACGTTGCAGAGAGACGGTGACTCGACTTCCCTTCGAGAGAGCCCGTTCACTTGCAAAATGGACTGGATACCGGCATTTGACTTATTATCGTCTGGTAAAAAGCAGGAAATGCTTGATCAGATTCATAAGCCGGATGATGCAGAAGTACAACATCTCATGAAAGAGCAGCAGACTGCACATGTCGCGATCAGAGAAGCTATAGAAAAGGCTAACGGGATGCGGATTCCCAACTTACAGCTTCGGAATTTTGCCAAGTGGATGAAACAGCAGCTAAATACTTCTTCATTGCCTCTTGAAAAAGATTTATTCGCAGATAACAAACTTAGCAAATCGCTGACAGAGGTTCTATGCGCTTCAGTCGATCCCGAGAGTCTCCTTGGGACTGAGAAAAGCGTGGACAAGATTATTGACTCGCTACGTGGCATGCGCGTTTCACAAACCAAGTTAATCAAGGTATTTTCAAGGGTACAACCTGATCATTTGTAGCGTATCGTTCTAACAAATTACTAGATCGTGGCTATAATGGCACAAATTAAGCCGAATCTTGCCATATTAGAGCTTGGCGCCGACTATACATCTCCATTCCTTGCTTCGGCCAGAGACATCCCAGATACAGTGAACTATACCTATGCATGCCCTAGCGCCATAGGCCTTCAAGAGGTCAAAGATTTAACCCAAACATTCCTAATACCAAGTCAGCTTAAAGTTCTGAACATCGATCTCGATGTTAGGAAGCAAGGATTTGAGCCATCTTCTTACGACATAATCATTGGATGCAATGTATTTTCAAACTCCAAAAGTCTTCAAAGAACAATGGCAAACTTGAAGGGTCTGCTAAAAGATGGTGGAAAGATATGTATAGCCGAATTAACAAATCCGGGATCAACTGTACTGCCTGTCTTAGGCGGCATATACGAATGGTGGAAGTAAGTTTGGTGATCTACCTTCGCGGTTGATAATTATCTGACAATATCACAGGAAGCGTGACGACGGTTCAAGTCGGCCCCTAAAGCTTGACTCTATTCAGAGTGTATTCAATGATCATCAGTTTGGCATTGACTTCATCTCTTCCGACTTTGATGCATCACCGCTGCATCAAACCTCTGTGTTAGTCGCGTCAGCTACAAGACCCAAAGATGAGGTCACGATTCTGCAGACACCAAACTGTTCAAAAGCAGCTCAAGAGCTTGCTTCTAAAGTCTCACAACTACTACAAAACGACGGTATCTCAAGTCAAGTTTGCGCTTGGGGGTCTGACAACATTGACCATAAAGGCAAGAGATTCATCGCTCTTGTAGAATTTGAGCTTCCCTTCTTGGAAAATTTGACGCAGCGTGATTTCGAAATCTTAAAGAGACTTGCGACCGAGGCCTCAAGCTTGCAATGGGTTACTGCACTCCCGGACCCTGAACGTTCTTCTGCGCTCGGGTTCGCGCGTGTTGTTCGCAACGAAATTCCTGCAATTCGGTTTCAGACTCTCCAGCTGGACACTGGTTGTGCCACAATGCTAGATCGAGCCGCAGCTTTGATTCATCAGGTAGAGAGTTCAACAACGACAGAAAATGAATTCAGAGAGATTGATGGAGTCTTGCATGTCCCACGGGTTGTTGAAAATCGAGAATTAAATGAACGGCTGTCACAAAAGAGTCCAGATCTGGATACTGTTGAATTAATGCCTCTTGGCTCGACAACTGGTTCACAGAAGCTTTTTATCCGCAATGATGGAGTTTCAGAATCTCCATATTTTGAAGCTGACGAGCTACGAAACAATGAGTTGGACGAATATGAGATCGAAATAGGTACAAAAGCAAGCGCATTGAGGTATGACTCCATATCATTTTCTACCAGACCACTCTTGAGGTGTTTCGGTTACTAACAATACTCTATCAGTCGCCGAGATGTTATAGCTCGAACAGGCCCAGCCTCCGATGCGGCACTAGAGCTAGAAGCCAGCGGCATCGTTCTTCGCGTGGGTGATCAGGTTACTCAGTTTCAAGCGGGCGATTTCGTCTTCGCTTTAGCTCCCGGAACGCATAGAACTGTCCTCCGGACCAGGGCCAGCATGTGCCAGAGGATTCCTACAGGTTTCAATTTTGAAGACGTTGCTTGCTTATCCCTAGTGAACTGTACTGCTTATCATGCTCTCATGAATATCGTGTGTATTCGAGAAGGGCAGTCTATCCTTATCCATGATGCCGCAAGCAATTTCGGGCAAGCCGCGGTGCAGTTGGCCAAGCATAAAGACCTGGATATCTTTGCAACTATCAGGTCTGCTAGCGAAAGAGATCTGCTCAAGGACTTGTACAACATTGCCAACGATCGCATTTTTGCCTTACGCGACTCAAACTTCTCGAACTCCATACTCCGTATGACCAACGGCACTGGCGCTGACTACATACTCAATTCTGTTGTTAGAGAACAATTACAGGAGACATGGAACTGCTTGGCATCTTGTGGAACATATTTGGAAATCTCGAGCAAGGATGCTTCAAGAAGCATGTTACGAGAGATGCGACCACCGCTCAAAGATTACATATTTGCTTCCGTTAATATGGGGCACATACAAAGCCAACGCCCAGAGATCATGGCGGGCATCTTGCGGAACACTTTCGAGTTTATGGAACAAGGCATAATTAAACCCGCCACCCCTGTACCCGTATATCCAGTATCTCAAATTGAGAGAGCGATGGACTTGATGAAATCCGCGGAGAACCTAGAGAATATTGCTCTCTCTTTCTCTCCAGATGACCTAATTCCTGTGTTATGCAAACCGAAAAGGATATCTTTGAAGCTATCTGGGGAGTCGACCTATTTGATCGTTGGAGGTCTCGGTGATCTCGGACGAAGTCTTGCGCGCTTCCTAGTTGACTCTGGCGCACGACATATTTGCTTCATTTCTCGCAGTGGAACGGTCCAAGACGTGCAGAAGCAGCTTGTCACCGATCTCACAAGCAGTGGAGTTGACGTACGAGTCTACAAATGTGATATTGCCAGCTTCTCGGCTTTGGAAGACACGCTCGCACTTTGTTCTCGAGAGATGCCACCCATCTCCGGCGTTATTCACTCTGCACTTGTACTCCGCGACGCCATCCTTCACAATATGACTTACACACAGTGGGTTGAGGCGGTGGGTCCCAAGCTTCAGGGCAGTCGGAATCTGAATGAACTACTGCCTCGCAATCTCGACTTCTTCGTTGCTCTGGGGTCTTTTATAAGCGTTATTGGTGGTCGTAGTCAAAGCAATTACGCTCTTGGCGGCGCATACCAAGATGGCCTGGCTGACTTCCGTCGCTCTCTTGGCCTGCGAGCTGTTACTATCAATCTCGGGGTTATAAAGGACATTGGAATCATCGCGAGAAATGGGGCTGTTGGCGCTGCTCGTGACTGGGCAGAAGCTTTCGGTCTTGATGAGAATGAGTTACACACTCTCGTTGAGCATGCTATCAGCGTGCAGCAAACTGAGAGCAGCTCTTCCACACCGGCCCAGATTATCACGGGTATTCCAACTATCGGCATGGTGAAGCAAGCTGGAATCCCACGGCCATATTACTTTGACGATCCTAAATTCAGCATACTAGCCTCAATGGGAGCGAAGCAGACTTCTTTGACTGCTGAGAGAGAGGATATACAGCCATCATCGTTGTCCTTAGGGGTACAGCTCAAAGGCGTCACAAGCATAGCCGAAGCTTCCAAGCTGGTACTGAATGCTTTGGTTGCCGAGGTGGCCAAACTGATGCAAGTGGACACTGGAGAAATTGATACAAACAAAGCGCTCTACTCCCATGGCGTAGACTCGCTGGTTGCGGTTGATATGGCACACTGGATCAAGAAAGAAATCGGGGCCGACGTTGTTCTGTCGGACATTACGGCTACGATTCCTATTACGAGTTTTGCGAAAGATATCACAGCCAAGAGTCAGTTTTCGTGGAAAGAATAACTGATACCAAGAATCAGTTTAAAGACTGTATATAGTTTATGTATGTGTTGGAACTTCAACTCTCACCGGGTGTTGTAAATTTCGTGTAAAACCAATACTTGAAGTTCCGGTCTCTGATTCTGGTAAGCGCTATATTACAGCGCCTGCTTGCTATAATACAGCGACTGTCTATTATACCACCGTACCTATATTCAATCAAAATTTATTGCACCTCGGTTGAATAGTGCTAAACTGTCCGACTAAACCCACCGACATACCAACAGCTGCACATGATAGCAAGCATAAGCCAATACAGCTTTCTAAGGCTTACCATTATAAACATACATTTCACATGATACAGACTGTCCTAATACACTTAACCAGAGTCGGTGAGCAGTGATTGTAGAATGCAGCGCATAATTTCGTCAGAATTCTTCAACTTTGAGTATCTTCGTGTACTCGGCACGTCTCCCTTTCAAGGTGCCGAGGTGGGAGAGTGTTTGGAAGCGGCTCATAAGATTAGAAGTAATGATCCTGAGAGCTGGTATCGTGCTTGGTCCGAAGCTGCTCTGAAAAGCGAGGAAATAGCGGAAACCGCATTGCGAACTGGAGATCGTGAAGCAGCTCGATGGGCTTTTCTGCGTTCATCCAACTATCGTCGAGCCAGCGAGTTCCTACTACACCACAATCCTGAAGATACGCGCCTGTCATCAACAATCAGCCAGTCTATTAGCAACTTCAAGAAGGCATGCCAGCTCTTTGATGATCCGGTTCATTTTCTTGAAATACCCTACGAAAATGGTGCTACGCTACCTGCTTATCTTTTCATGCCAACATCTGCATCAAAACTCCCTGGGAAAACACCCGTTGTTATTAGCACAGGAGGATTTGACTCGACACAAGAAGAGCTTTATTATTTTACAGCCTCTGGTGCGAGGACAAGGGGATATGCAACCCTTTCCTTCGAAGGACCGGGCCAGGGTATTGTTGTTCGCCGCGACAAACTTCATCTACGACCAGACTGGGAATTTGTTGTTGGGCATGTTTTAGACCATCTTGAACGGATAGTCGGCGAACACCCTGAATGGAACCTAGATCTGTCGCGGGTAGCTATCGCAGGCGCATCCATGGGCGGCTATTTTGCGTTACGCGGAGCACTCGATCCACGGGTATCCGCCTGCATCTCCATTGATGGATTCTATGACTTGGCTGGTTTAACGAGAGCTCGCGTATCGGGGCCCCTGATGACGGCCATAGAGGAGCAGTACATCCCAGATCACATATTCAACACGCTGCTCTGGATAGTTCTTGCGCTTGATTTCCAGAAGCAGTGGGAGCTGGGCCACGCGAGATTAGCGACGGGAATCCCATCGCCTGCAGCAGCAATGCGCACCTGGAAGAACTACAGCATGGCGCTGCCTGATGGCGGGACACGCCTGAGTCAGATCAAGTGCCCTGTATTGGTGACGGGATCCCGTGATACTATGTATATTCCGGTAGAGGCAGGGCCACAGCGAATTTACAGCGAGTTGACGAGCATCAGCGGCAGCGAGAAGAAACACGAGCTATGGATTCCCTCCAGTCCAGGCCAAGGCTCACTGCAGGCGAAAGTAGCAGCTCTAGCAGCGCTGCATACCAAAACCTTTAGCTGGCTTGACGATGTATTCGGGATACAGAGGGAATCAATCACGGTCCGAGATTAATATTGTCTCAGTATATATGTAGAAACTTCTCTTGTGACCCATTTGTAAACAACAATGAGAAAAGTTTTCATGTAATTGATGTCTTGCTTGTTGCATTGCGTCTCTGTGATGACAACCACTATGTTCTTCAGCCTTAGTATACCGAGATGCACAGGCTACTGATTGATATCGGTGGGTTTTGTCAAACTTTGCCGAACGGTAGGCTCATCACCCCTCTGTAGACTGAATCCATCCTGTCTTACGGCGGGTTTGTATTATTGTAGGGCGGGGCCGGCCTTATGGACAGCTATATTAGCAGTAATAGAAAACGGAGAAAAGAATACTATAGTAAGATCTCTATTAAATTGACTGAAGAGGGAGAAATCTATCTGTTCATCAGTCTATTCAACGTAGGCAGTCGTTTTTGTGGCAGTTTTGCAGCTGATTTACCTGTTACCGAATCGAGCAGAAGCAACTCAGAATGTCAGCGCTTTTATCAACGTCTGCGCTCCTTCGCGTTACGCCGCTAATTTCCTCTTCGTTTTGTATCTGGTTTGCTTGGGATCAGTACTTTTACCTTCATTTGTTCACCATTCCAAATGTGAGGCCGAAATCACCTCAGATTCTTCCATCTTACATGAAGGCCTTTTACCCTAGTGCGTCGGCTCGGGTTGCCGTCACATGGATCACTACTATGGCAACCTCTATCGCGACAATCTACTCTCAGAGCTCGGTTATTACACCACAGCAATCCTTGTGGTGGTACAAAGCTGGTCTAAGCATGACTGTGGGTCATGCTCTATTTGCACCGATCATCTTACCCACAATCGTCTCGATTCTGAAATACGGGGATAAGTCTGCTGGACAAGAGGATATCATGTCACTGCTATCTCGATGGTTGAAAATTCATATTATACGCTCTTTATCTGTTGATTTATTCGCATGGGTTTGTTTCGTCGTTGCCGTTACCTACCAGTTGGACATCTAGAGATGTACATATGGACAGATACATACACAATCTGTAGATAGGTGGCCCAGAGTTCTCAACAAAACACTTTCTTAATTTCGATATAGCATCTTAAATTTCGCTTGACTCATCATTGCTTCCAATGTTCATACTGAGTAGATGGTTTATATAAGAGGGTTGAAGTGTTTTAATGCCTAGAAAAGCTCCTTTACTAATGATGTGTCAACTTCATCTATTACTGCTGAGCGAAATGCCCTCCTGGGCCAAACTTTGCTCTGATGTATGTTGTAAGTAGATTTTGCTTTACAATCTCATCTTGCTTAGCCTCCAGGTCATCCACCGCCCAGTTTGCCGACATAAATCTTCCCCTTAAGAACTCCGCTTGAGGAGTGGTAAGATACAACGACACCCCAGCGGATAATGCAGCTAATATGCGTTCAGTACAGATTTCGGCCATGAAGCAATTTTTAACTTACCAGTGTCAACATTCGCTCCCGAAAGCATAGCAAATTGCACCCCATTCGGAACAATGCCTGGATGGAGATTGAATGCTCGCACATTCGGATGTTCTGTTATGGTAAGAAACAGGTAAGAACAAACGAGGAAGAAACATTACGTCTTACCAGCGTGTAGATATTCTATGAGTCGACAGCTTGCTGATTTGGTAATAGCATAGTTTGACCTCGTAGGGATAGTTTCAATAGCCATGCTACTTGTAACGTTGATAAAAGTAACCGGGTTTTCTGACTTCAAATTTGCTGTATGGCGGGCTAATAGGTAAAGCGCCTTGACATTGGTCTCCTGTCATCAATTGAGAAATAATGTCAGTTGATATTTGCCGTTAACATATTTGGACATCAAGTTGACAAACAAAATCGCTCCACCATCCCTGAATATCTGTGTCTCCAATTTTCTTCATTTGGGAGCGCGATGCAGCGCAGCTGATAACGACATCGATTGTGCCAAATTTTTCTACCGAGCTATTCCATAGGCTGTTGACATCTTCTTCAGATGTCAAGTCACCTTGAACGCAGTCGATTTCGACTGCTGAGTTGATGTTTTCAATTTCTTTCTTCAACGACTCCAATGCTTCAAGACGACGAGCAGTTAAAATGATCGCTTTTGCTCCGGCCTTTGCGAAAAACCTTGCGTGTTCCTATACTTAAATGAGTAATGTGTTGGCGTTTCACTCTTCGAATTGGGCTATTTGAATTGTATGTTATGCCATATAGACTATAGAAGACTTACTGACGCTATCGGCCCACTGGCCCCCGTGATTAGGATGATACGTCCATCCTGTTTCAATTGCAGATTCTCGGGCTTGATGGATGGATACACGTCATGGTAGAAGTTGGGTGTGAATAATTGGTGATAGACAAATCTATCAGGATTTGCTGTTGCTTCAGCACCTGTAGGGTTTGACATTTCCCTCAGTTCAATAAGTTACCTCTTACTGTAAAATCGAACTAGTGGAACTTGCGTAGTCGAGGATTATGATACATCCCCTCTTTGTAGTTAAAGGAGACCATCGGTATGCTTTCTAACTATAATTGTCCTCGGCCACCGAATGGTTCCGGATAAAGGCGTAATTCACGAACTTCATCGGAGGATATTTTTCATACCCACCGATATGTCACACAATAGTTCAACGCAGCGGCTAACAGTGAATTTCATTAGACGGATTACGTAGATTAGCGAAAAATAGAATAAAATATGCTTACATGAATATGTGAGATCATGTCCTGCTAACTGTGCCGAGAAACTTTGAACGGTTATAAATCAGGCGAATAAAACCGGAGTTTTTGTTTTGTCAATTCGATTAATCATGCACCTTTTCGCAGCACATGTTTGCTAAATACGGCAGATGACTTCACCCACATTATGCTTTACGCCCTGGAGATTTTATCGATTATTGATACGATGGTAAACTAAAAATAAAGTATAAATGCTTCGATGTTTCTCAATTACCAGTGCTAACTATGTAAGGTATCAGTACTATGCCTTTGCCACTTTGACTAGCTTTTTAAATTGAATCAAATTGTCTAATAAGCTGCTTCACAGTTGTTATTTGACGTTGCAACTGCTCATGACGACGTTTCATCATGGCCAAGGCTGAGCTGATGGCCTTATGAGATCCGCTCGATGCGCTGTTACTGCTTATATCTGATTCGTGTTCACTGTCATCGTCATCAAAAACATCCTTTGGTTTGCTCAATGAGCCACGGCCAGCTGTCCCATGAGTAGACAATGGAGACCCCGATGATCTTGAAGAAGGTAGTGAATCATTGGAATTTGCTACTACTCTTGCTGTATTGCTTCTGATGGAATTTTTCGAAGCTCCATTATCCCCTAGTAAGCCGACAGCATGGTCCAATCGCTGAAGTTGATGGCTCACGAGTTTGACATTAATGATGGCCTGTGTTGTTGGCATTTCTAGAAACTGTGACGCCCCAAGAGGGCGATTTGGAGGCTGCTGCTGTCGCAGATGCCGCGATATATAAAACAAGATTCCACCCAAGGTTGTGAGTAAGCGCTGATGGCAGGCAAGGACCATTAACACGATGCCAGTATCTGGCATTCTGCGGTCGGCTGGGGGCGATACCGTTGGCCTTTCCGATATCCGCTGCTGAAGCCAATCGACATCTTCCCAGCTCGCGGAGAGATCAAATTCATGCGGGCCAGTGTCGGGTACAAAGTTATCAGCTTTGTTGCCATATTTACCGCCAATATTTCGATGGATGATGCCCACGAGAATTTCGCTGGAAATGAAAATATCGTTTAAACATGGAGAGGATATAGAGAGGGATGAAGGATACGAAGAAGAGAGCGCTTTGTTCAGACGGCAGACTCGGAGGCTGAGATTGCCCAACTCTTCAGTATCTCTCTCAGTCTGGTCTACGAAAGGTTCTGAAATTGGTCCTTCTGGAAAAAAGCTTTTCTGTCTTGGAGATAGGGTTTCGATTGGCGGCATACCTGAGACGCCAATCAAAAAATCAGCTTCATATGCGTTGCTGCTGCCATCAATTAAGGCATCAGCCATTGTGAATGGCGAAAACAAAGCGGGGTTGACGGGCAGCGAGTTGTCTGCAGAAGCTGAATTGTGTAGCGAGTTTGCCGAGGGCGGGCATGAAGCCGGTGAAAGGCGAGATAAGTACGCTGGTTCTGGAGACTGCGGAGGCCTCTTCCTGTGGTTGACAGTTGAAGGAGCCGTGTCACGCATTTCGCTGCAGAGTGGCGGTCTGCCAGGCTTTTGTTGTGGACTATAAACGCAGATTGCCCCTGATTTCTTGCATCGCAAACATGGTTCTGAGGCTATTGCCAGATGACTTTCTCCTTGGCTTCGCATACATCGAACTTTCTGATCATGACATCGATCGCAAGAACGACGGAATGGCAAAAGAGTTTCCTCAGAAGTTGATGAGATAGATATTGACATATCTACGCGCTGCAAAGGTAACTTGTAAGAAATGAGTTGCTTGCACTGAGATGAGATTGAATGGAAAAGGGTAGACATGTGAATTGAGACCTACTAAAGACGGTTAACTCGCTTGCTGGTATCGGTACCTGAGCAATGTGGTAGTAGTCTTATGTTGGCGAATGATAGCCGAACCAATCTCTTACTAAGGGGACACAATGATACGTGTACGACGCAAATATATGAAATATGAAGCTGCTTGAGACGTGACATCAGCACTACTAGGTACTACAGAATGCGTCTTTGATCCTACAATCTTGCGGCTATCGCTGCGCTAGGTTCGATCGAGATTCTTATTCGCCGCGTTAGATTTAGCACACATGTGTGCGCCAATAGGTTTGTGTGCCTCCAAGGAGTGTTTCGCGAATTGTCGTGATTCTGCCAAGGAAGAGCCCATGTCCTAGGCCGAGGTATGTCGTATGGTGATGTAGGCTTTTGCTGCTCAGCTCGTTGTATTACCCCGGAAAAGTGGCTGACGGGACTCAGCAACCTTTAGTGCGCCGTGATTAGATATTATTTATTACAGGGACCTGGACCGACTACCGTAAGGGTAATTGCTTCAAGAGGAAAATAGATCCGCCTTACCTTTCCTTGTTGCAAGACGGCCCAAGAATAGATTCTACTGTATATAATAAAGCGTGAGTATCCACTGATTCTGCAGGCCAATGCTACGGTAGATTGACAGTAATTGGGTATTTCTTATGGAACGCCCGCTATACGGTTTCACTAGCCTGTACCACACCACTTTGCCCGTGTAAAACCGTATAAAAGCAGCATGCAAGTCTTGATTCCACACCACAAACTCGGTGATCCGGCGCTGATAACGATCGGCGATAATTGTTTTATAGATACGCATTCACTTGCCTTTATCTATGTATCTCCTTATACAACTCGCACGTGCTTCAATTCATTATACCTCACATTTATACCTTATTCAATCAGTCAGCAAACAAGCCTAGTAATCGATTTATAAGACTAACAATCGTCATCCAACTTTGCTGCACATATCTTTAATACGTCCTAACACATATTTGTATATCTTGTGGCTAACACATATATGAAAGAAGTGAAGCTGGATATTACAAAAGTCCTACTTCTTGCTTACAAACATCCTAAGGCCATACGATCGGGCTTTAAGCTAGGTGGCCGACATGATCGCGGATTACTGATAGACTTACACGTCCTAGGTATATGCAGATCTCCAAACCCCTGTTGATGGTCAACATTGATCTTACTAGGTGCATTAGCTGGGCTGGTTGGGTGGTCATCTTGCTAGTATTCATTTGCCGGCATGCTTATCTCTATATGTGCATAAGACACTAGGGTATAACAGGCAACTTTGTATCCGTGTCTCGTAAGATCTCGGGCAATTCAAGAGGACATGCCTACAACATGTACTCTGCAGCTCTGCCTGCTCGGATGGTTCATCGGTGTCGGCGTGGACGGCGTATTACCCCGCCACTGATTCTGGTTAACGCTACAAGTATGCAAGTCCGGTTATTTCATTTCTGCTGACTTGTTGAATTCAGAGCATGATGGAGGCTATAAGCTGGGTAGGAACAATGTGAAATAACGGGATTGAAATGTGCAAAAAGGGTTCAATATTATGAGTTTCTTGTAATCAGCGGAACTATGTATGCTATAGCTGCTACAGTTGCCACGGCCATTGGTGCCTTCTTCGCACAATGGCCGGCATCAGGGCCACCACGCGTCAGCATCGAGAACGGAACCGTCATCGGATTGAGCACAGATGGCGTCGACTCGTTCTTGGGAATTCCCTATGCCCAGCCTCCAATTGGCTCTCTGCGGCTGAGACCGCCTCAAGCATTAACAAGCAAATTCGGAACTATCCAGGCAACATCAATACCAAAGGCATGTCCGCCCCTTAAAGTTCGAGGAGATCCAAACATGCTTGCCCAGCTTCCTGAGCAGCTGGCGGCGATGATGGGCAATTATTTCAACGAGCCTACGCATGTGGGCGAAGACTGCCTGACTTTGAACATCCAACGGCCCGCGTCCACGGCAGCTGACGCCAAGCTGCCAGTGCTAGTCTGGGTTTACGGAGGAGGTTTTGAACAAGGCTCCACGCAGCGGTATGACTTTGCTCGACTTGTCAACACTTCAACTTCCATGGGCCATCCTACTATAGTGGTTCAAATGAATTGGCGAGTATCTGCATTTGGATTCCTTGGAGGAAAAGAACTCCAGAAGGATGGCAGCACAAACCTGGGACTACGCGATCAACGTTTTGCCTTGAACTGGATCGCAGAAAACATCGAGGCTTTTGGGGGAGACCCCTCCAGAGTCACTATCTGGGGCGAATCAGGCGGAAGCATGTCCGTCTTCGATCACATGCTCATCAATGGTGGCGACCATTCCTACAAGGGGAAGCCGCTGTTCCGTGGAGCTATTTTGAACTCCGGTGCTGCTGGGCCGGCACTCCCCGTCAATGCTCCGGTGGCACAGAAAGTGTACGACACCATTGTTGAAACAGCTGGATGTGCTTCATCAAAGGATACGCTTGCATGTCTCAGAGGGCTATCTTACGAGGCCTTCTTAAACGCCTCGAATGTGACACCCAACATGTTCAATCAGGACGGTATAGCTGTAGCATTCTCCCCTCGACCAGATCCAACTGATGACTTCTTTCCTCTCTCCCCGGATGAAGTGATCAAAGCAAAACAGGCAAAAATTGCTTCTGTGCCGTTACTGGCTGGTACTATGGAGGATGAGGGGACACTGTTTGCTCTAGCGCTGTACAGGGCTCAGACCAAGGACGCTCTTGTTGACGTGATTCATGGCATTGCTCCTAATGCCCCCAGATCCGTCTTCGAAAAACTGTTCTCCTTCTATCCCGATGAGCCTAAACATGGATCACCGTATAATACCGGAGATGCCAATGAGCTATACCCGGGCTATAAACGCAATGCAGCAATCACAGGAGACATATGCTTTGCCTTCCAACATCGGGTCGTGCTCGAAGCTATTTCAGACCTAGTGCCATCTTGGAGTTATATGTCCTCATATGGACGACAGACACCATTTATTGGCACATTCCATGAAGCTGATGTTGCACTTTTCGCTACGGGGTTCCCAGAGCCAATATATCTTGCGATGGCTCAATATCTCATTAGCTTTGTTCACCACTTGAACCCCAACGTGATTAGCATGATTGACGGAGGCTCACGACCTCTTCCCAACTGGCCAAATTACAAGAAGGAGACCAAAGACATGATGCAGTTTACAGATCATGGGCTGGAGATTGGCCAAGATAATTTCCGCCAAGAAGCTTTTGACTATTTTAACTCGAAGCTTCATCAGCTTCGGTGGTAATTGTATACAGATAAACTTTTACCAAAAACCTGGATTCATAACCCGGAAATGCTCTCTAATTGAAGACCTTAAATCAATGATGTTGAGGGGGTTCAGGAATAGACATTGAAAGTTAAGATTTAAATAAACGAAATTATTAAAATGATTGGCTCCTTGACAACAGCCATCCAGTAATTCGCACTATTCAGTTTCTCTTCATGCTTGATAAAAGCGAAGAATAATACGTAACAAGTATATACATGAATCTTACAGCCAAGGCTACTGGTATGCAACGTAGGATGACATGTGTAGAGGTATCCACCTCGGCGGGTTTATGCTACCGGTGGGTTTAGCATCCAAGGCTATACTTGAAGCATCGATAGAAGTCAGATTCATTTTGTCTACTTGATCTGGACTCGTATGCTGACATCGCATTAGGTAGCCATATTTGGAAGCCTTCCCAATGCGTGTATGTAAAAAGTGTTTGAAACTGCAGATAATTCTCATTACTTAGATTCTTACTCTTGGTTCAATTTTCAAGCATTCCAAATAGACTAAAACCGTAATGGCATCAACCGGCATAGGTGATATTGCCAAGTTTGCTTTCGGATCGGTACATCCTCACCCAGTTCACCTAGGCATATTAAGTAGAAGAGCATATTTGGTTAACGCATGTTATAGCTGGTACTATTCGAAACCATCCAAATTATTTACAACATCTATTTTCACCCACTAAGGCACTTTCCTGGGCCATGGCTCTTTCGAGCAAAGAGACTATTATATGTGATACGGTTCAATCAAGGTAGGCTGTCGTTTGATGTGCATGAATGGCACAAGAAGTATGGGCCAGTGGTACGAGTTGCACCCGATGAGCTTGCATTTGAAAGCCCAGATGCTTTCAGGGACATTTATTGTCGGCGAATTGGAGTTGCACCACCAGATGATGAGATGATTAAGCCTATGCGTTCATATCACATTAAAGGTGAAGCGCGCAGCATCATGAACGAAGACAGAGAGAACCATGCTCGTCTACGCAAACAACTGGGCCTCGGATTTAGTGAGCGCAGTATGAGAGACCAGGAGCCCATTATTGGCGGTTATGTGAATCTTCTTATTCAGAGGCTTCACGAATACTGCATCGACCGCGATTCTATGGATCCTATAACCGGCCAGCAGGCTAAAAGGCCGATGGACATGACTGCGTGGTACGCTTGGACAACCTTTGACATTATTGGTGACCTGGCGTTTGGTGAGCCATTTGGATGCTTAGAGCGAGCAAAATATGACCCCTGGGTGGCTGCCATTGGCAAAGCTGTGCGCTTCAGTCCTATAATTCTAGGTGCTAAACTGCTTGGCTATGAGTGGGTGTTACGGCCCATGTTGAAGATGCTAAATAAGTATCGTCGAGAGCATAACAGACTCTGTATGGAAAAGCTAGAGAGGCGTTGCCAGTTAAACATGCAGAGACCAGACTTTATAGAGGGCTTGTTACAGAAGGCTAAAGAATGGGTAAGTTTCCGTTTGCATATTTCATGATTGCCTTCTAACACAAATACAGAATCTCGATATGCGACAGATAATGCAAAATAGTAGCAATCTGATCATTGCTGGCTCAGAGACGACAGCCACAGCATTAGCTGGTATCACATACCTACTTCTCAAAAATCCAGAAATATTCCAGAGGGTTGTCGACGAAGTTCGCCAAGCTTACAATTCAGAAGATGAGATAACGCTACTGTCAGTCAATAACCTCCCTCTGATGCTCGCCTGCATAAACGAATCTCTGCGTTTGTATCCACCAGTTGCTCTTGGTCTTCCACGAACAGTTCCTCAAGGCGGTGCAATCGTTGCAGGAGAATACGTTCCGCAAGGTGTAAGTGTCTCTTTGTCCCATGGTTGTTTGGCGAGGTTAACATGTGTGCATTCAGATGACAGTTAGCACCTGGCATTGGGCTATCTATCATAGCGAACGCCTATGGACCGATCCATTTGCTTTCCGGCCGGAGCGTTTCATGAATGATCCGAAATATGCTGGAGATAAACTGGACGCTCTGCAGCCTTTTTCTATTGGGCCACGAAACTGTCTTGGCCGCAAGTAAGTCTCTCATAGCCTTGTCAACCTGTTAATTTCCTGGTTAGATCATCCAATGTGGCATGCTGACACAATTATAGTCTAGCATATGCGGAAATGAAGTTAATTCTTGCGCGAATTATATATAACTTTGACATTCAGCTAGTTGATGAAGGACATGATTGGATAAAACAAGACACGTACATATTGTGGGATAAAGGTCCTCTACCTGTATATTTAACTCCAATCAAGGGTCCTAGACAAATGTGATAGAGATAGAGCTTAAAAAGATTCTTTAACTTCGAAATAGATGATTGTTTGTGTATTCTCACATTATATCGGTCTACAGCCAGTGAGCTGCTGGTTATTATCTTTCACAATCAGCCACTCATATACTGTACGAGCGAGCTATAACCTGAGACTAAAGTAGCAATGCATGTGGTTTTCATTTGCAGCATCATTGTTTCACTCTTGATGTCCAGAATATAGATAACTCTGTTCTATTCTTCACCACTAGCACTAAAAATTCATAGAAACAGTAACTCAAACCTTGCCTTTTACAAGCGATGGTAGATACAGAGGCTCCTTCTTGTCAACCATATTCTTCAAATACACACAAATCAGCTCATTAAGCCCAGCCTCGCGCGCTTTTTGCAACCAATCATTCAACTCTAGCTCGCTAAACAGCTTTCCTTTGGCCTTCTCCATATATTCCTTCAGATTTGGAATGGACACTTTCTCTTCGTTACAATGATTGATGTAAAAAGTCTTTGGCGATGGGTCCATTTGATTCGCACTTGTTGACGCGAGAGCTTGAGTAGCAATTTCCTTTGCCACATTTTGAACGTCCACAAAATCCAAATTTCCAGTAATGACTCCTGATAGTTTGGGCACTGAACCAAGAATCTCAGAATAGGTATGTAGTGAAGCAATGATATCTGTGTCGGGCGCGCCATCTCCGATAATGCTGGTAGGTCGATGCACACAGCTTTGGAGATCGTGGTTGTCTGCGAGATACTCCAAAAGTGCCTCGCTAACCCACTTCGATATCGCGTATCCTTGCTGGCCATCGGCCGGTAGATCAGCTTGGGCTTCAAGAGGAACTTCAGATAAATGTTCCCCTGGATACAAGTGTGCAACAGAAGCTGTTGATACGAAGTGGAACGGGATCGATACCGCAGCTGCAATTTCGGCCAAGCGTCGTGTTGACAGGACATTGGAGCGTCGCAGCGACTGATATGTTTTCATGAACGAAACGTCTGCGCCATTGTGAACTATGACATTGGCACGAGATGCGATGCTTTCAAGCTGTTCTGGCGATAGGCCCAAGTCGTGATCGGCAAGATCACCACTGTATTCAATAATTTTGGGGCTAGATACGTCTACATGCCGTGGCAGCCCATTGACATCTGGTCGGATGGCAATGCAATGAACCTCGCTGACTCGATCATCATTGACAAGACACTTGAGGATGTTTCGCCCTAAAAATCCAGTAGCGCCAGTGAGGACGACGGAGAGCCCTGACTTAGATGATGAAACATTCACAGGCTTGGTGAAAGCGCTGCGTGATAAGCCATCACATAAGGATCGGATTTCCTTGTTCCAGTCAATATGCTGACGAAGAGGCTTATCGGAAACGGCCTGTATTTTTGCAGCCATTTCGCGAATTGTGCTCGCTTGGAATAATTCCGAGAGTGTTAAATTGCGGCCGAATGCCATCTCCAACTCTGCTTGAAGCTTCAATAGTAGAAGTGAGTTTCCACCAACAAAGAAGAAGTTGGTTTCTGAACCGAACTGTGAAAGCTTCATTGTATTGGGAAGAACGTCTCGCCAGACGGCAACTACCGCTTTCTCGAAATCGCTGAGGTCTCCTGTTTGCGTTTTGACTTCCAGTGCATCCGGAATTGGAAGAGCATCAATCTTAGATTTGTCCTTTTTGCCATTGGGGTTCCTTGGTATTTCATCAATAGCAATGATATGTGCTGGACACATGTAAGACGGTAACGGCAGATCGTTCCGAATTCTCTCCACGGCCAAGTTTGTATCTCCCGCGAAGCCGTCTGAGAACACAACATATGCGACAAGCAGATCCGAACCACGAAGAGACACGGAAGCATCGTCAACAACTCCTTGTGAAGCATCCACTATAGTCTTGGCTATTTCATCCATTTCAATGCGCATGCCGCGGATTTTGACCTGCGAGTCTCCGTCTAGCCGCCCAATAAACTCCAAAAGGCCATTGTCTAGCATTCGGCCCTTGTCCCCCGTGTGATAGAGAGTGTTCCATCCCCGGTTGATGTCTTCTACAGGAGAAACACGATCTGGAGTGAATTTTGATGCTGTCTCCTGAGGCTGGTTGACGTATCCAATTGAGTTGCCGGCACCTGCAATGCAAATCTCTCCGGGGAAGCCAAAAGGTAGCGGGCTTCCAATTTGATCAACCACAATGACCGTATAGTTGGGCATTACAAAGCCAGCTGGACTCGCTGTCGTTGTCTTATCCGTCCTGTATGGAATCTCATATCGTGTACAAGAGAGACTGGCTTCTGCGGGTCCATAGAGATTGATGAGACGCAGATTTGGAAGATCCAACTTTTTGAACCCTCGACGTAGCTGAGCCGTAACCTTTTCACCTCCAGAGAATGCGAATTTCCAAGATGAGCACGCTTTGAGGATATTGGAAGTATAATGCAGAAGATGCAAATACTCGGAAGGAACAAATACAGTGTATGTGATGTTTTCTGAGAGTATGAGATTTGCAATCTCCAGCGCGTTGCCTCTAGCTTCCTTGGAAGCCACAATAAGAGTACCGCCATTTGCCAAGGCAATGAATACTTGTTCCAAGGAGAGATCAAACCCAAAAGAACTTTGCTGGAGCACATTCTCCTTTTTAATCTCAAACATCTTGGAAATTCCCCAAATCTGATTTAAAACGCAATGATGGGTGAGCAAGACTCCCTTGGGCGTGCCAGTTGAGCCACTGGTATATATGGCAAAGCCAGGGGCATGAGGTTGAGCAAGGCAATGGGTCGGAGAGTTGCCTCTTGTTGTCGCTGTTGGGACATCTGACGTGTTTAGCAAAGTAATCAGAGTATTCCCAACTGTTAGGGTAAGTTTTTGTGCCAACCCGAGCGTCTCATTTTGGCAAATTATGGCGGCATGTTTGCAATCTGCGATGATTGCAGCCAGACGCCCTTCCGGGTTTCGCAGGTCAAGTGGCACATACACCAAACCAAGAATCATGATAGCTACCAAGGAACAGATAGTATCGGCCGCAGGTTCCAGAAGGACTCCAACGTATGATCCTGGAGACAAGTTACTAAGGTGTTCGGCAAACTGCTGCACGCGGCGCATCATATTAGAGTAAGTCAGTTGTCGACTATATCCATCCTTGATCGCCATAGAAGTCGGACTTGTTTCTGCCATCTCTATGATTCTATGAGCCAGTGTTGGAGCGTCCCACTCTATATCAATGCGACTACCACGGCCTACTGAGATTGCGCGCTGAATATCCGTGCTAGGAGCAAGAGTACAGTCCAATGCCAATTTCGACGTATCGGCAGCAAATTCCTTGAGGGTATGAGTGTACCACTTGAGGAGCATATCTGTGTCACAAGTGCTGTAGAGGTAGCTTTGGGTTGTGAATGAGATGATTGTGCCCTCTGCAATCTCTGAGATGTCTATAATAAGATCATAGGGATTTCGCGCATCATGTGTTGAGGTCCACTGGATCTCGCATTCTCCCAGCGGCATAGTCCTTGAACCTCCTAACCGGTAATTCACGGCGATCTGGAATAGAGGATTCTGGTCTCCAGATCTAAAAATATTCAGTGTGTCAAGAATCTGGTCAAAATCAACTCGCGAATGGCTTAGGGCGGCCAACGTGATATCTCTGGTTCGGACGGCAAGATCTGCAAAGCTTTCGCTAGCATTCGTCTTAAAGTGTAGCGGCAGCAAATTGGTAAAGTATCCAATTGTAGTCATATCCGCAGCACTAGTTCGGTTTGCGTCCAGTATACCAACAGCGAAATCGCCGATATTTAGGCATTTAGAGACGAACGCAGCTATGGCAGAGAGATAGAAGTGAAAGGACGTCAGCTGAAGATCCGCACTTGCTTGCTTGATCTGGTGAACAAGTGGCCTCTGTAGAATGAGGTCCAAAGTCTCCGTATCGTAACTCTTGAGCAGCTGTCGATGTTGGACCTTGGAGGTTGGAAATAGGGGCATTGGCTCCGGAATGCTATCATATGTGTCCTTCCAAAATTGTAAATCTTCTGCAAGGGTTCCACTTGCGGCCTCTCGTTGCATCTTTTGAGAAAGATCGATTGCTTGCTGCCTCGGGGTTCTGACTCCTTTGCCTGCGTAGGCATCGTTTAAATCTTTGAGAAATATGCTCCAACCAACGCCATCAAGTGCAATGTGATGAAACGTGAAGATGATGCGATGATCGCTTGGAGATAAAGAAAGAATTCTGATCTTCATCCATTTACCGCGGTTCAGGTCAAACTTGAAGCGCTTCATATCATCAAGAGATTCCTGTATCTTGACACTTGAGTCACCAGGGATGTTAGCATGTTCCAAAATGATGCTTGATCTCCTGTTCACCCCTTGCATGGCTTTTCCGCTGGCACTATCCAAGTAAAAGGAAGTTCGGAGACCTTCGTGTTTCTCAGAAAGAGCGTCAAGTGCGTTGCTAAAGTTGTCAATATTGAGTGGACCAGATAGCTTGCCAGACATGGTCACGTTATACGTTGTCTTGTCTTCCAAATACACATGAAGAAAGTACAGACGGCTTTGACCAGGAGTCATTTCTCCCATTCGCACATATGAGCGATCTTCAAACGTTTCTTCTGAAACTGAGGAAGGTTTAGGGGATACCGTTGACAGCTCAGTGCTTGAGTCCCCCTCTCGATCAGAGTTGGAGGCTACCGTGGTTGGTGGTATAGACAACTGAGTTTCCTTTGAGGTTGCTGCAACAGTCGGAGCTTGATGATTTTGGGCCTTAGGCGCAACATTAGAAGAAATCAAGTCTTCATTGGCTGACGAGACCAAAGTTGGCGGAAGCATCACCAAAGCATCTTGACAAATGTCGGCCAGCGAAGCTCCGCTCAGGATCTTGAGAACCGGCATATCAACATTGACTTCTTTCAGGAACCATGATCTTATTTCGACTGCTACCAGAGAGTCAATTCCCAGCTTGAGTAGAGGTGCCGCATGATCAATTGAATCGGAGTGAACTTGAAGAATCATGGCCAATTTCTCGGCGCAAACGATCTGCAAGACAGTCAAAGCATCTTTTCCACTTCCAGCAGCCGCCAGTCTCCCTTGGACACTATCAGAAGACTGTACTTGCTCACGATCAGAGTTTTCTGTAGTATTTTCATGCGGGACATAGGTAGCGAAACGCGGATTAGTATACCAAGGCGCATTTGGTGCCTGGCCAATACCAATGATGATCTCTGGATCCTCATCAGAAGTAGATTTTCCAGCCACAATAGCCTCGGCAAAGACTGTGTGAAATTCAGGCTCTGACATTCTCATATACCCGACCTTCTTCAGATGATCTTCGTATTGCTCAAGATTGCGCGCGACGAAGCCCACACCAAGCAAGAATGCGATGTCAATGATTGAAGCGGAAACGCCTCTCTTCTTTCTTTGGCGTACAAGCGAGTGCATATACATATTTGCAGCGGCATAGTTGGATTGACCTCCATTGCCCATCACGCATGTGAGTGACGAGAAGCAGATAAAGAAGTCAAGCGGCGTAGAATAGAAAATATCATCTAAATTCTGAGTTCCCGTCACCTTGGGCTTGAGTGCCACCTCGAAATCGGCCAAGGTCATGTTGTTAAACAGCTTATCATTCAACACCATCGCAGCGTTAGCAACACCGGCGATAGGTGGCATTGTGTCGCATACTTCCTTATAGATCTTGAGTAGCTCTTCTTTGTCCGATATGTCGAGGGCAAAGATATTGATCTTAGCGCCCTTGCGCCTCAAGTGCTTCAACACTTCTGCGTCCACTCTGCCAGGATTTCTGCTTGTCACCACGATGTTGCGTGCTCCGTGTGTGACCATCCAATCACAAAGAGACAGCCCGAGCTCAGAGGCTAGTCCCACAAGAAGATATGTCTTATTTGCTGAGAATAGGTCGTTGGGATCAACAGGATTGATCTTCAAATCCATACTGTCTGAGCTGTGCCAGCTAATCATTGCAGTGGGAGTCTCGGGCAGAGATGGCATATCCATAACTTGATCCAAAGGAATAGCGCTTTGGTGATGCCCAAGATCATCCGAAAGAGACAAGATATGCCGAATCGCAATATCCGCCATGTCTTTCTTGGTGAATCTACCATGTATAGAGTGTTCGTCATAAATAGCCAGCTGATTAATGCGCTGAGAAGACAACACGATGCGATGGAGCACGCTGTTGAACTTCCCCAAGTTCACAAATGATTGGATATCCGCTGGAATAATATTTCGTGCATCTCTTTCTGTCGCATATGGATGGATAAAAGCTTGGTCGAAATTCGACTGCGAGTTCGCTTCGGATGATGTACTGAAGAACACATCAAGCCCTCGCATTCCAGCGACTGTAGAGATAACTTTAGCAAGTGGTATATCGGAGTCGTGGATCCAAATATTTCCTCGGCTGCTTTGTACGATACTCTCCGCAATTATGGTCGCCATGAGTCTTTCGGCATCTGACGAGGTAGCAAACTGCTGCTGGAGAAGCAGTACTTCTACTTTGGGCACGTCCACAATTGATCGGGCATGGGGAGAGAACACAAGTGCCATTTGGCTGCTTTGGCCAATAGATCCGATACACAAGTGTAAAAGAAGGTTATCTCTGGTCTGAATAGGCAAGAGAGATGAATAATGGACTCGAATTTGTACTGTATCGGTCGATGTGGTTGCCTCCATTTTACTTCGGACCTGCTGCAAGGATCGAGAGCCATTCGACCTTCCAAGCTCAATACATACCTCTCCAAGAGAAACAGGGCTGACGATGTCTCTCCTGGTAGAGTTTAATCGGTCATTCATGTGCTCAACAGGAACAATCCTTGGGATATAAAGCCCGTCTCCATTAATGGATAACTCCCACTCCTCATGCCAGAGAATCCCGTCGAATTCTGGAGAATCCAAGCAGATCGTACGCAGCATCGTCTCGACAAATAGCGAAGGCTCCACAGCACCTGCTTGGGCAGCGTTGATATCCAGAAACTGAAGCCGAAGATCCGGTAACTCGTGCAAGACTGATCTTCCAAGGCCAACAACCATATTTGACATTGGATTATCGTCACGGCATTTCTGAGTTACCCACAAGACATATTTGGCATCTTGGAGAATTAGCTGTATGCCACGAAATTTTTGAGGAGTAATTTGTTCAAATGTTGGTTTATCCAGCTCAGAAAGAATAAGCACGGCTGATCCAGGTATAACTTCTCCAACTTCCTCGAGAGTCGTAACAAGAGTCACCGTCAATGCGATGTGCCGGAAAAGAGGCTCAACTTTCCGTACCAAATTTTGAACTTCGTCTGACTCGCCTCCTACAATAAATAAATGTTTTACTCGTGGAATGTTCTCCTTTGAGGACAGGGGGCTGCGTAACAGGCTGATGCGATCGTCAACTGCTTGACTCACGATGAGAGACGCTAGATATCTCTTGGGATCATGATAATCTCTGTATGCAGCGTCCACACTAGAGAATCCAGTAGCTAACAGCTCTTGGTGCCAGCGCGATTCGTCAACAGTAGGATGGTACAGTCTCCCATCTCCGCGTCCAAGCCACCAACCCGGTAAATGAGATGAGATGAATTGCGGCAGAACGCCGTCATTCGTGACTTCATTAAGGATCATAAAACCTCCGGGCTTCAACAGAGCTCGGCAATGTGTCAGTGTCTGGGCCAAAGACTTCGTAGCGTGTAGGGCATTTGAGGACATAATGACATCAAACGAGTGCTTCTCGAATCCTTGCTCACATGGATCGCGTTCAATGTCCAGAACTGCCCACTCCATGAGGGACGAGTACTCTCGAAAACGTTCTTGAGCAGCTTCGAAGAAACCGGCAGAAATATCAGTATATGTATAAGAATGGCAATGGCCAGCGAGACCTTTGAGCATATGTATACTCGCACCACCAGTACCAGCACCAATCTCTAATACCCTCATTCGCGGATAACGGTGAGCCAACTGACTGGTCACCGTGATGAGATGGCTATACGTCTGTCGAAAGGGAACTGCTTCAGCGTACAGCCGAGTGAGCATATCTTTTTGCATCATGACTTGCAGCGCAGGTAGTTGTCCACGCAAGATCGAAGGCTGAACCTCGCCCAAGGCCGATATCATCTGCAGCTCTACCTTTCCAGAATACTTTGCCATCCATTTATGCGCATCTTCTTCGGTGTCAGTAACCCACTCTTTCTTAATGCGAGGATGGTTCCCAGCCTCGATTTTAGGAAGCAGATAATTGAGAATCCAGTCAATCTGAATCTGAAAGTGCTCATCCATGCGAGGAATCTCTTCAGGCGAGATTTCTTTGCGAAGCTTCCTCAGATAAAAGTATGCAAGACGCTCGCAAATGTCTCCATAATCGACTTCTTCTTCGCTCAAATACTGGACTTTATCAGGTTCGATACCACTGCTAATGTCTCTCATCCAAACTGTCTTTGCAAACAGCTTGCGGTCATTCTGTGGAGTTGCCTTTGTGAATGACGAACATGTCAGAGACTGCAGCTGGATTTGTGTGATTCCAGTAGTCGACGACGAGACATTTACGTCGCCGCAAATCGTTTTCGAATTAGCGTTTGTGAGGTAGCAGTCTGCAACTAGATCTGATATGTCGCTTGAGGATACAGGGGCATCCAGTGCTGCGGGATTGATACGGACGCGACGTATGTTAGTTGGCAGATATGGAGTCCATAGTTGGCCATCTCCAGGAAATGCCAGCGCAGTGAAGATCCCGTGAAACGCAGCATCGAGAGTGGCAGGATGCAATTTTGTTTTAGAATTATCCAAGCGCTGTAGTTTGACCGTAGATGTGTTGAGCCTTCTCTCTACACCTTCAACCACAAATTCGCCAGTGTAACGCAGGCCAACCTCTTCCATGTAGGAATACAGACGATTGACACTAACAGGCTTCATTGGCAGCTTTGGAGCTTCTCTGGACGGCAGAGAATCCAGACGGGGCGTTCCAAGATGGATGATGGCACGCCCTGTGAAGTTGGTGCTATCAGGAAGCTCTGAACCCCCATCCACTTTACAACTGTAGCACGAATATTCAGCTGTGATCTGATCTGAGGTTTGAGATTTGACTCGAATTGTGAAAGTGACTTCGGTGCCGCTCGACTCATCTTCGAGTGTGATTGCGCGATGAATCACAAGGTCCTCAAGCTCGACAAGCCGGACTTGAGTCTCACCGGCCGCAAGTCGAATCGACGCTTCATAAGCCATGGATACGTATCCAGCAGCAGGGAAGAGCACTTGACCTTGGAATATGTGGCCCCTAAGCCATTCCATTTCTTTAATTTTCATCACGTTACGCCAAATCACCTCGCTGTTGTTGCCATGTGTGGTTGCATAGCCCAAAAGCTCGTGCATGGGGTTCTTGCGGGAGCGATAGTTGCGAGACTTGCGAGATTCTTTCCACAGCTTGGTGTCATGATCCCAAGGATAGGGTGGAATGCCTTTTAGGGTTATACTTTCTCCTGCCTCATCTCCAAGGCAGGCTCTCCTAAATCCGGCAAAGTCAACAATGGGAGTTGGTGTATGGAAATTTGACCAGATAAAGCCCAGAGCATCTGAAAACGATTCCATATCATCTTGGCCACGTTTAAGAACGCCCGAATATGGTAAATCCAAGCCTGTCAAGTTCTTAAGTGTCTCCAACACCGGCGCCTTCAATGCAGGATGCGGCCCTACTTCCATCACAATATCGTGGCAATGCTCCTCGACCACGGCTCTGTCGATGGCTTGGGAAAACAGCACCGGCTTAACCATATTGTCAACCCAATATGAGGCTTTATAAGCATCGGTATCCTCAATGCTGCGACCATTTGAACCATAAACACTTGAATACCACTTACACTTTAATTGATCGGCTCGAATTTGAATGTCAAGCTTCTGGAGCGATTCGAGGTAATGCTGTGCGCAGCGTTGCATATGATGTGAGTGGTACGCCTTTTCCACTTTCAGCACTCTTGCAAAAGTTTGCTGCTCATCCAGGACTTGCTTGGCCTCTTCAATGGCGTCTTCATCTCCAGATAAGGTCACGCTGGATCGAGAGTTGCTTGCGGCTACCTGGATCCTGCCTGCAAACTGTGCTTCTTTGCAGAAGAAAAGAGCTTGGTCAAAACTCATCCCAACTGCCATCATCTTTCCTTTCCGTCCATCTGGTCCGCCGGCAAGATGGGCAAATACTCCGCGATAATACGCGATGGCCACCGCATCTGCAGCCTTGAGATGTCCAGCAGCGTAGGCCGCACTGATTTCTCCAGACGAGTGTCCCACAACAGCGCTGAACGTAATTCCAGAGGCATAAAGCAAGTCGACCAGCGCGATTTGAATAGCAGTGCAAAGCGGTTGCGAAATGGCAGCTTCATGTATTCGAGAGTCTTCAGCTGATGCAACCAGCTCGCCAGATAATGACCAAGAGGGCGGAATAGCCAGATTGCTGAGTGCTTTTTCAAGATCATCAATTGTCTGCTTGAACCTCTTTGACTTCTCATAGAGACGTCGACCCATAGAGGGCCACTGCGCACCTTGGCCAGTGTATACTCCAAGAATTCTTGCTGGGAGATCCTCAGTCACATGAATCGCCCTGGTAGTTGTGGAAGCTGATTGGCTTGCCACGTCATTTAGCTTCTTCACAAGCTCTTCTTGGTTAGATGCTGAGATATATATTCTATGCGGAAACTGCGTGCGACGAGTCTGCAGCGTCCATGCCATATCCGAGAGATCTGTTACCTGCCCAGATTCTAATGCCGCGGAAAGAGTTTGCGCTCTGGCCCTCACAGCCTTTTCTGTATTGGCCGACAGAGTGAACGGGCCACAAGGGATCTGAAGGGCTCTATCATACCCCCTTGATGGCCAATGCTCTAGAATTGCATGCGCGTTGGTGCCTCCAAAGCCAAAACTATTGACACTGGCACGCCTTGGAACTCCGGGGGGCAGTTTAGGCCATGGCTTGGCCTGGGTTGGTACGCAAAGATGAGTATAAAACGGGGAGATTGCTGGGTTGAGCTTGTTGAAGAGCATGTTAGGCGGGATAACGCCGTGCTGAACGGCAAGTGAAGCTTTCAACAATCCTGCCAATCCTGCCGTGCCCTCCAAATGGCCAATGACTGTTTTGACAGATCCAACGTAAAGAGGTTCATCTAATTCAGCTGCATTGGCACTGTCTTCTTCTTCATCCGCACCAAAGAAAGCATCTCGGACAGCCCTTGCTTCAATTGCTAAATGAGTCGAATTTTAGCAGCTATTCAGTACATGTTTAAAAGCAATGAACTTACGATCTCCGGCCATGGTTCCTGTACCGTGCGCCTCGAAATATTGACAGCGATCTGTCTTTTTGTTAAAGTCAAGGCCTGCTCTCGTATAAGTGGACTTGATTAAAGCTGTCTGGGATATTGAGCTGGGCATCGTAATGCCTGATGTACGTCCATCTTGGTTGACGCCCGTTTCCCGGATCAAACATTCGATATGATCACCGTCTTTAATGGCTTGGCTAAGAGTTTTTAAGAGGATCGATGCAAACCCTTCGCCACGGGCGTAGCCATCGGCATCGGCATCCCACATGCGTGATCTGCCCGTTGGGGATAGCATGTGAAGCTGCAGTCACACATTGAGTCAATATCTTCCAATTCCACATTCTCAATGGGTCTCCCAATTGCGTACCTTGGACTCAAGAATGTATGGATCTGGGCCAAGGATCAGATTCACGCCGGCTGCCACAGCCAGTGATGACTCTCCACTTCGCAGTGTTTGCACAGCGTGATGCAAAGCTACTAAACTTGATGAGCAAGCTGTATCTATCGTGGATGATGGGCCTTTCCAGTCGAAAAAGTACGAGACTCGATTGGAAAGGATGGCTCTTGAAATCCCCGTAGCAGCGTACTGGGGCGCGCTATCCACATCACGCAGCATAAGATCTGAGTAGTCTTGCGTCATCTGGCCTACAAAAATGGCCGTTTGAGAGCCCTTCAGTCCCTGAATGGAGTATCCCGCAGCTTCAACACATTCATATACTGTCTCCAACAGCATTCGTTGCTGTGGGTCCATGGACTCTGCCTCTTTGGGGTGGATATTGAAGAAATTATGATCAAACTCTCTATGATCCTCTTCTAGGAGATATGAGTGCAATACATTTGTACTCTACAATTGAATGTTTGTTTAGCATATTTACAGAGCCAGGTAGACAAATTTGGCAAGTAGCGCGGTTGCTTACCCCGTGGTGTTCTCCATTCGTATTATAAAACCCATCTGGATTGAACCGACTAGGAGGTATCTTCACCAACACATCCTTGGGGTTCTTCAAAAGTTGCCATAGCTTAGATGGCGAATTAGCACCACCGGGAAAGCGACAACTGCTTCCAACAATAGCAATGGGCTCAGTCTTGAATGTTGGCAGAGCCATGTTGAGAGTCTTTAGAAGAGTGGTGAGCTAGAGATTTGTCAATTGTCGAATGAAATCGCAAGTATTCGCGGTAGCATGAGATATAAGATTAAATAAAGGTGTTATTAATGCATGCTCATAAAAACCACAGCCGGACAATTGAACAGAAGTCCGCTGTGGATTCGTTGTTGTACGATAACAGACATCGCCGCATAGAGATAGGACTTTCATGATTGATAGTTGATAATTCAGTATAGCGTAAACGCTAACGTTCTCTACTTGACTCTGCCAATAACATTATTTCCACCGACTCTTTGTGCTACACGTCGGCGCAATATGCTGACAGTGGGGCTCAGAATCATATCATCTAACCGGTTGGACTGCGAGCTTACTCTACATCAGGCAGTTCAATATGTCAACGAACCGAAAAAAAACGATCTGCTTTGTGTTTTCTTGCCGAGATACGTGCCGAATTCTGGAGCATTTACAGATCGTAGTGTTGGTCCGATCTTGATAAATCTGCAGAGCGGCGAGACGCCTAAAGCGGAAAATCCAGAAATCGTGCTATTTACACCAAACTAATAATTGAAGAACAAGAGACGTAAAAAAAAAAAAAAAAAAAAACTCCAAGATAATAAGGAGCCATTCAAAAACATGACAGTTCGAAGCACCTTGGTCGGAAAGAGTGCTGGCCAATATGAACTGGTCTACAATGTCCCAGTCCCAGATCCAGGGCCGGATCAGGTGGTTTGCAAAGTTGCCGCTATTGCATTGAATCCTACCGACTGGAAGATGGTAGATTTCTCCGTTGTGCCTGGCGCAGTCGGTGGGCATGATTTTGCGGGAGAAGTAATTGAAGTTGGAACTTCAGTTACGAGACTGAAGAAAGGCGATCGCGTCTTTGGGTTAGCGATAGGCTTTGATGTAGACGACAAGCGGACCGGGGCATTCACAGACTATGCTATCACTTATGCTCACGGCGCCTGGAAGATCCCAGACTGGATGTCCTACGATGAAGCAGCAACATATGGCGTTGGTATAGGCACAGCAACCTTAGCCCTTTACCAGACTCTCAGTTTGCCACCACCTGTTTTAAGCGATGACATTGCGACAACAAAGAAGAAACAGAAGAAGCCGGTGTATGTATTGATTGCCGGTGGAGCAACCGCAACGGGCACCATTGCAATACAACTAGTAAAAGCGTAAGAGTTACTATTCCCGTTTTCCACTATGACATTGCAAACACCGATATCTCATTATTAGAGCTGCAGCTAATTAAACATCAAGTTCTGGACTCGCTGCGATTGCCACCTGCTCTTCCCAGCATAAAGATATGCTCATGTCTTTAGGTGCCGACGCGACATTCGACTACAACTCTCCCCACTGCGCTATAGAGATTCGCAAATACACCAACGATACCCTCCAATATGCGCTGGACTGTGTTACAGAAGCGGGCACAATGAAGATGTGCTATGACGCGATTGGTTCCGCTGGCGGTCGCTACGTTGGGCTCGAGCCACTTGCTACGCACATTCAATACACGCGGCGGACAGTTCGTGCTGATTGGGTGATTGGAAGAACTCTCTCCGGTCTGCCTGTACGACTAGATGGAGTCTATGGGAGACCAGCTAGACCACAGGATCGCCAATTTGCGGAACACTTTTTTCCTATGGCCGAAAAATTGATTGCAGATGGTCAGCTGAAGCCGCATCCTGTAGAGCTGCGTACAGGAGGGCTGGAAGCACTTGTAGAAGGCATTGACGATTTGCGAAAAGGCAAGGTGCGCGGCAGAAAACTGGTTTATCCACTGGCATGAGGAAAGTGGTCAATTTTCATTTCGTCAATAGTAATACGCAATGGTCCAAAGGATAAGGCAGACTCTAATTTTCTCTCTCTCATTGTAATGAGCTCGTGTTGATAGATTCAAAATCTAAGTGTTTGCATTCGGAAATTCAGATGAGATAATCTTGTCAGCCGACTATCGGAAAGCCTAAAGCTAAAATAATCATACTAAAAATGGATTCTTAAACAGAGCTTATGGAAGCGCGCGTGTCCATAAGCAGCCAGGGGACGAGACCTTATCCATCATCCACAGTCTCCATTACGGACAACGCCGTCAAGGTTCCCGAGAAGTATTTGTCTGGGTATATTTGTGTTAATGAAATCATGATTGAATTGACATGAAACCATCTACGATATACGAATACGGTTAATTCTCTTGCTTCTGAAAGCTCCGCGCTGTTACTCCTACATGATAAGAAATAACGATTTTCAAATCATTTTTATCGTACTTTGTTTCCTTTTCCTCTCTTTTGGCTTCCAGATGAGTAAGCTCACCTCTGGATTCTGGTACACAAACCATAACGGAATGTAATCATTGTGGAGCTAGAATACATGTGCAAGCGTTCATTTACTCAGGAATCCCTTGTCTCCAGCTTACTAGGCATAAGCCAGATTGTTAAAGGAGGTGTGTGCGTTTCTTGCTTTACGGAACACAGGGATGGTACTCAAGTATACAACTCTACAACATAAATTGCATTCAAATTCTTTCCAAATGTTGTCAAAAGTTGGCTGTGGTTCGTCAATACTACTAGGAACCGCCGAACTCTGATATAACAAGCAAAGAGGAAGCATGCACAAAAAGCAATACCATCAACGACTATTTACAACTAGTCCTTCAGCTATGGATACAATCTCCGTCACTCTAGTGACGACGGCTTGCAAGCTATAACCTCGCTCGCCTATCTTGGCTCCAAAATTACGTTGTTTACTAGTAGAACGTGTATAGCGGATGGAGCTCGCGCGTCTCGGCTCGGCAATGTTCCCTGTATGACGCCCAGGTGATCTGTGCACGCTATTCGTTTCAGAATTGTAGAAAATGATCAGGTAATACTCTTTTCGCAAGAATTAATTTCACTAATGGCAAGGAAGCCGCTGACGCCCATACTTGAGTGACAGTCAGGGAGTAAGTCAACGCCAACCCCCATGTAAACGAGTCAGTGGCAAGTTCACACTTAGAACAGTAAACGTAGTGGATTATATTTATTATTTGTATGGCACTTTTAAGCCCAATTATACCCATTCTCTATATCTCTATCGCTGATGATTCTGGAATACCTTTGCCCTCCTGTTATTACAAGTCCTCCTTGGACCAGAAAAAGAATGTGAAGAGTTCCCGAAATAAGCCACTTCTCCGACCGCCCTACACCGACTATACAATTAAATGTAGCTCTCTCTAGGCAAAAATTGGACTCGCCAAATATGCCGGGTTGACAAAGGCGTCATTATCGGCTGCCTGCCAGAACAGGTCAACCAAACCAGCGTCGTTGAATCTCATAAAGCGCATGCCTCGGACGCGGTACTGTACGCCATTAGGCTTTACTTCCGTGCCGTTAAGCATAGTAAAAGTGCTATTGCGCGTTCCTTGGAAGATGTATTCGGTAGCTGCCCAGTTGCCTTGGCCGAGGACGAACTCATCATGCTGAACGAGATCGGGGATGGAAGTGTTGTAACGAGTGAACAAGTTCACAAGAGCTGCACGACCAGTCGAGTTGCGGCCATCAGAGACAACAGTGACGTCCTCGGTGGCAAGAAGGCCGTTAGCCGATGAATTTTGGTTATTGAAGTTGATGTTGAACTGCGCAGCCTTCTCTTTAATCTTGAAAGTATACCCAGCAGATTTATTCGCGATGGGATTCAGTGCAATCGGTTCAACGGACGGTAATTTAGCCGCGCCAGTCTGTTGCGCTGCTGCGAGTCCGGATTCGCCTATACTGACAATTCGGCTCAAGAGGGCATCTTTATCGAAAATCATAGTTTCCGCCAGCGTGGTCTGAATAAGAAGTTGTGATGTGTTTGTAGTAATTCTACTGGCGCTTAGAATTGCGGCAGTGTTTCCCTCCACAATGATGAGCCGATCGAGAAACTGAGCTCTGAGTCCTCCTGGAGGAGGAGCCAACGCCTGGGCAAATTGAACTCTTCCAAGGCCAGAGAGCCCACTGAAGAAACTATCAACGTCGGGTGTGACCAGTGCCGCATTGGCTCGTACGCCTTGAATGGTGTTTTTGCTGAAGTTCGGGTGAAATGACGCGGAGTGGTTGGCAACCAGACTGACATATTCATCGTTAAGGAGAAGTCCTGAGGTTCCGATCGGTTCTTCCAGCTTGGTACTTGAGCCTACCAAGGCAAGCATATAAGCCAATGCAGATTTCATGTTGAAAGTAGTTGCAGATTTTATAGCGTGACCGAGGAAGAGCGCTGTGAGAGCTGTGAGAGCTGTGAGAGTTGTGAATCAATTTGTATCCAAAACGCTCACGAAGAAAAATCAACGAATAGACAATTTGCTCGATATTTATCCGCAACTTTTATGCTTTCATCACAAGGAATCGCAGTAATTACTTCATATAGGGGCTGTGCTGACGGATACTCTTAAAAAAGATCGCCGTTCTTAATGATGTGGAATCAATCACCACAAAGCGTAATCACTAGAACAAAGCCGTCGGCTAAGTTTGACTTGCTGTGGGCCTAGGTGAGATGGCATATAATTCTAAAATAACACTATTTCGAAGCAAATATTCCTATTTGCTAGTTACTAGCATTGTTTTCAGGGATGGAATCAGCTAATGTGGGCAGGGGGCGTGCAAGATAGTACTGCCCACATGGAGACCATGTAGGGCTGATCTATAAGGCCAATGATATATTGCTAATGATTTGGTAATGGTACAGCCCCGATGAGCCGCCTTGGCAAACTATAGACAATTTTTCCTAGTATATATTCGTTAGCACCCTTGTATTTCTCTTTAGATCTGATACAGAGCTGCCACATTTCGTGCATGTTCTTGAAAACAGTACGATCTAACGGCAGAAAATATAATAAAAAATAGGTAGGAGTGTTACATTTGCCGACTATTCAATTGGAAATGTGTGGCGTTTATCCCGCCGCTGATACAGTCTAATCTAGTGTTTGAAACGGAAATCTAATCTCTTGTTACCCTCATCAGTTGTTGTTGCCAAGTAGTGTAGCTTCTCCTCCTGCGTCATGGCATCCCATATCGTATCCCTCCGCTTGTTCCGGTATACGTAGTAACATTTGGTAAACAGATACCAGGTAATGCTCACCGAAGTGATAGCGAGGAGGTATCTGTTACCACGCCGGTAAAGTGGAGCGTCATCGGCGCGATAGAGATTCGATGATATGATGTTTCCGAGTTGCACGAACATGTTGTATGTCGCGGCGGATACAGTTCGTGAGCGCACCGTATTGGAATTGCGGCTATTCAAACCCACTTGGATCGGATGTGCTAGTCATACATGTCAACAATTTTCCTTTGCTCAGCATTGGCAGGCTGAAGCGTGAAGGTACTAACCGTAGGGATAGCTCAGTAAGAGGCTGATAATTGTAAACACGACCCATTTATTGCTTTCGGCTGTGTAGGCAACTTCGAGCCAAATCAAGAATGGAAGACACCAGATCTGGCCAAGCATGGCTGTCAAGACCATCTCATCCCGGATCTCAGCCAAGTAGCTCAAAGCGAACATAGTGATGACTACAATTTGTATCAGCAGCTATTATTAAGACAAAAGAAATCAAGCATGATCTTAACGTACTGTTCAACACACTAGAAGGGATGGTTAGGAGATTGGTTTGGAAAGTACTGAAGCCAATACTCCTGAGGGCCAGTGTGAGATATTTGCCCACAGGCGCTGCGGGTATCTGGAACAAGAGTCCAATGATGTATAGAGGCCTTTTCGCTCCTATTAGCATGACAGTTCACTAGAATTCCAACAAGCGATAATCAACCTACCATAGGTCATAGTCCATCAAACTCTTGAGCAGCAACCTCGGTGTGATTGGTTCACGGTTGTGCATCGAACTCTTCGAGGGGTCTTCGCGCAAGACACGGTTGACAATGATAATCTCTTCTCGTTCCGAGAACCATCCGCTTTTACCACGGAGCCAACCTTTAGTTTGGCAAGGGCCGGCGGGCATCAAACCAAATGCCAGAATTCCCACAAGAAGAGTCATGAGGCCCTAGACGTGCTTGTTAGCCTAGAATATCATACGGTCTCTCAATAACTGCTCTTACCTCAATCAAGAAGAGCCACCTCCAACCTGATCGACCTTCGACGTCTCTCATGTGTAGAATGCCATAAGCCAATAATGCGGCCAGGATCTCGGCTACAGTCATCATGCCCCAGAACCAGCTTAGGCGTAAAGTCAATTCGTGATGTTTGTAGAAGTACGAGAGATACAGCACAATCTGTATAGTGTTAGTTTAAAATACATTCATCGCGGTTTGAACCATTATCGACTCACATCTGGGATAAATCCACCTTGCAGAAGACCTAGTAAAGCTCGACAAGCCAAGAACGAGGATCGACCCGACAGCCAGAATTGGGCACCAGCAACTATACTCCATAACACCATCTGCGAGGGAATCCATCGATCGGGTCCTATCCATTTAGACACCAGCTGAGAAGGAACTTCGGCAAGGAGGAAGGCGATGAGGAAAACGGTATTTCCCAAGTTGTAGTCTATTTGGTTTAGAGTAAGCGATTGCCTTCGAATTCAGGTTTGACAAAATCAGTGGCAATTCTCACCATTTGTTGTCAAATTCAGATCCTCAAGAAAGTTGTCAGAGTTTGCCTGGCTGAGATTGGTTCGATCCATTTCGAGAGCCATGAACATGACACAAGCCCAGGCTGTAATGCGAAAGTCCATCTTTCTAATTAAAGCATCTTCTTCGGCCCAGGTCCATCGCGCCAGTGGATCGAATCGATGAACATTTTCCCTTTCCAAGTCAGTCTTTAATCAACAAGTTACCGTCTTGGATCAAATTGGAAACTCACCAATTGTCTGGAGGCTGGTACTTCTCTGCAGTTTCGGGATCATCGAAGACACTGGGCTGTAACGGGGTTAGAAATGGCTTAACATGACGGAATACCGAGTGTTGAGTCTAACCTGGGTCGCAATTGCATACGGATCGATCGCCCGAGTTCGCTGCCACCAGAAGCGCTTCTCTAATTTTTCCGCTCCCAAAGGAGGAATTTGATCCAGAGAGAGTGTAGACTCATTGACGCCCTCCTTTTCGGTTCCAGGCTGCCTTATGCGAACTGTAGCCATGTTGAGACTAAAGCGTTTGATCCAGATCTAGGGTTGTATCAAAATCTGGATTCCAAAGGAGAATATTTGGCAGAAGATATAGGTTCTCTGCCGATCAAAATAGACCGAGATGGCATCATTGCGGACCCCAATCACTTCTTATAGCATTTTCAAAACCGCAAGGGTTTACAAACCTGCATCCACTATCTTAAAGTTTTTCACACGTTTGCCCGGCTCGAAGGTTGATACGGCCATCTTGTTTTTGTTTAGTATCTAGATGGGCTTTATGTTGTCCCGAGAGGGACACCCAAGCGGGGGACAAAAACAGGGATGCGGCAAACAAAAGGTACGACTAATCCTTACAAAGTGATCTTTAATCAGGCTAAAAGGCTATCTTGGTAATGACATAGAAATCTAGTTGAACTACCTATTATTAGACTTTATTCGAATTATGTTCGTTATCATCTCTGATAATTCAATTAATCCTTCCTTGACGTCGTCAATTGTTTCCTTATGTGAAACCAGAAAAAAATTCCGTTTAATTTGCCTCACCTTGGCAAGAGTCTTTCCACTTCACCAATACACTGAAACAACTTGTTCATGCCCCTGCCGTCCTGACGACAGTTGCGGTTCCAAGGTTCGTCCAAGTCCCACCACTCTTTTGCGCCTGTGGCGATATCGGTCTTTTAAAAAATAGAGGGACTTTCTTTTACTGGTAAGAGAGGGCTATCCCCTGCAGTTACGCATAGATCCCCCGCGGTGTGATGCCCATCGCTATATTGCTTGCTTATCAACCGCCAATGAAAAAGGAGGATTTCGTGTAAGGCAATGCAAGCAGAGAATGGCGACATTTCAGAGTAGCGATGAGGTGTTTGCCCCGGACCCGAAAAGTGGGGCGTCTGCCGGGTTTCGATGCCGGGTTTAAGCCCGGCTAGACTATATAAGAGGAATAACCTCCGCTTCTTAATTGAAGAAACTAAGCAAGTCGCTTCGTTGGGAGTAGTTCTTGCTATCTCAATGGCCAGATCAATTAGGTCTGTGGACTTACTCTCGGATATGGTCCGGTCTGGATGATTAGCAATAGATTTGGCCATAGTCTGGCCGGGTGAGCGGCTTGGTTGCTCGGTTGGATCTTTGTCCATATTCTCTCACATTATAGCATATGATATCATACCTAGGATATGTACATTGTACTATACGAAAGAAGGAGGCTTTCTTTATCATTTGAAAGACACGAGAGCACTTTGTGCTGACCCGCATACAGCTGCAATCACATCAGGCCGCGGATTATATAATTAAACTCTCTATTATGAAATCAAGTCCATTTTTATTGGCCAAACTCCTGCTTAGCAGCTCTCCTTTTCTGCCCCAGGATACCGCCCTTGCTCGATATCCCTTGCAGCGGGAGCGACGTGGTGCTTACAGCACTAAAATACAGTAGAGCATACTGTTTTCTTTACACCTCAGATATATCCGAAGCAGTTTTCACGAAATACCGAGGGAATGGCTGACCCAGTAGAACCCTTTTGGGGGCCTCAGACCTCATATCTCAAGTATGTACTATTGACTAGCAAAATTTAAGCAAATACTTATGATTGGCGTTGTAGCTTTTGTGAAGAGGTATGATGGTCTACAGTCTATGCTCTGCGTCAATTAAGATGGTGTTCTGACGTATTGTCATGCCACGCTATAGGACTATGTAGTCACACGATTTATCGCTGAATTCGTAAATACTCTCAGCAGTTTTACTTTTGGTATATTTGAACGAGGAATTCTTCTTGCAGCGGTTGGAACTGACATTGAGTAGTGATCTACGGAATCTACGGCTTGGTCACATCTCCAAAGGAACAGCGAACGGGCCCTCGATTGATCTCATACATTGGTCTCATTGGCGTAGGAATATGTTCTGCTGGATACCATATGACGATGAAATATCACACTCAGATGTGTGAGTGATTTCTCTATTCCTTCGCTGGCGCCATCTCCTAACTTACTCTAGCCGACGAGCTCTCGATGCATCTTCTAACAACGCCTATCGTCTACCGCCTTCTCACCTTCAAGGCCAGTCCGCAGCGCACTAAACTTGTGGGAACAATTCTTCTCATTCTCTTCACCACTGTCATGGTCACCCACATGGTGATGGATGAATTCCTGCTGCATGCAAGCACTTTTGGTCTGAGCATCTACGTCATCGCAACCCATTCCTTGAAGATTATTTCTCAGCAGGTGCCTGATCCCGCAATCAGAAAGACTCTGCGAAATATCTCCATCCTGGGCATGAGTAAGTTAAAGACACAGTGTGTTTATTAGAACACAACTAAAGTATATCACTAGTGTCTTTCGCATTTGGCTATTTTGTCTGGCTAATCGACGACTGGGCATGCAATATCTTGACCGATGTGAGGCATACAGTTGGTATTCCTTTAGCATTTCTATTCGAATTGCACGGATGGTATGCTCCATTTTCCAATCCGCTTCTAAAGATCGTGCACTAAATATTCCCAGGTGGCATGTTTTTACCGCTATTGGCGGTTATATCGCCGTCGCAGTCGTTGATTTGGTCATCACGGGCGACGTTGACAGAGATCCTACCGATCAACTTGCCTGGCCCGTTCCTTTTGCTGCGAGACTCATGTCTAGTTCCCAAAAGTCGACAAAGCAATCGTAGATTTATCGAAGAGTAAGGTCTTTAAAAGTACAAGAACCTATCCGCACGGTTACATGATCTCCCGATTGTCATCAGCAGGTGAGAGAACTGGGGAGCACTTAGAGTGCTTATTCAAGACGACACAATTTTTATAGACTATAGAGAGGATCTGAAGTATGTATTTGACTCAATTGAATCTTACTAAACACGCCCGTATTTTGTATGCGACTCCGTTGCTCTAAAACAATACCTTTCCTGCTAGCCACACCGCGCGAGCCACACGACAAAGGAAAGGACTTGAAATGTAACACATCGTGCTTAGAGACAGATAGGTTTAACCAGAAGATTGTGGTTCTTGTTATGAACCTGTCTATTTGTATCGTTCTAATTGGCCCACAGACGCACAATTACCTTAAGTAGATCTCGTTGTAACCATCTTACTTCTGCCTACTTATGTCATACGACACCAGTTTATCTCCGACCCGGCTTTATTGGGCGTTGTGAAGTTTAAAATATTACCTAAAATAGTCCCGTCGCTCATTTCGGACGAAAAATGCCTACGTCTACGTCATGAAAGCGCGCTCGGGCATTAGTATCAGGCCCGCTATTTCAGTGTTGCTCTATATGTCGCCGTGTTTGTCGTCGTGTTATGCATACTTTTGAGTTTGAGCGATTGAGCTGTTAATGTCCGACGCAGGAAATCTTTGCCACAATTGGATAATTACTATTGGAATGAGCCACCGCTGCGATCGAAATAGTGCACTCATCTTCACATCACGCTGGCTCGTTTAAGTCTGAATTCAACAGCAACGCTGTAGTGCTAGTACTAGTCAAACAGGAGATGCCAAACCTGCAGACTCGGCTTAGAGTTAATGGAATGGGAAAGTTGCTATCAAATTTCGTGAAAGCTGTTATTAATTTTGCTATTGAATCCCGGAGAAGGCTGAAAATGATAAATATAAAAGATGACAATGTCTCAATATTCTTGTCCATCAGAACATTATCACTTACACACTATCACTATATCATCCAAGGAGCATGCTACAAACTCAACAACATTCTAAGATTCCCCATTATTACAAAACTTTCTATAAAAAAACAAAAATGGCTACTCTCGAGCAACGAAACAAGGCGGTTGTTGCCAAATACTTTGAGGAATACTGGGTCAAGGGAAATGTCTCGGTTGTGGACGAGCTCTGCTCTGATGACTTTGTCATGAGCTACCCTAATCACGGACCCCGTCACGGCAAAGAGGGCGCAAAGAAGATGCTGACCGAGTTTATGGAGGTAAGTAAATCTATAACATGTTCCAAGAGAGACTTCAAAAATACTAATTACAAAACAAGGCTTTCCCTGATTTGACCTTTAGGTCTTACCAGACTCCATTGATTGCAGAGGGTGATTACGTCGCAGCACAGTGGGTTGGCGGCGGCACGCATACTGGCCGTGCCTTTGACGATTTGGTCGTGGGAAAGCTTGACAAAGCCAACACTGGCAAAAAGATCCATTTCAGTGGGATCTCAATTTTCACGCTCAAAAATGGCAAGATTGTTCGCGAGATTGCTGAGGAGGGAGGATTGACTGTTCTGCAGCAGCTTGGGCTTGTTCCTCAGCCTAACCCTGGCAAAGAGGTTGTTTACGATACGGAGGGAAACCAAGTCTACTAAGATTCCACGATACAGATAGATTGATCCATGAATCTCAGATTGGTGGATGTGATTTGCTCAAATATAGTTCATGTATTTCCGGGTTAGTGATGTGTGTGATCTCTAGATCCGATTGAAGATGGTTACTGATAAGGAAATGTGATCATAGCGCTATCACATGGATCAATGACAATCCAAGTATTATATATATCATGATGGTGTCTTTCTTTCATAGCAACACAATTTACTATTAAAAAAGCGAAGAAATAAATGGAAAAATGAATTTGAGATTTAATTAGAACATAAACACAGCAGCATTTGAGGGCACTAGAACTGTGATGCTATGCCTGGCACTGTGCCATAGCCCCGGCGCCTGTGAAAAATGCGATCCACCCTTTACACGTGCAATCGTGTTAGCAAAACTGCACTGTCACCTATAAAATAACACGTCAAATCAGTGCAGATATTCGCGTACATCATCAATATCGCGTCCAAATTCACCAGCTGTTTGACAATCTTATCTCGGCCAGCCTGTTGCCAACATTACATGATCATATGTTTGACCGCCAATATCTGGTCGCGTAAGTTGAAGTAGCTGCGCGTCTCGGCATCATTCATAGCCTCGTCCTTTACAAAACCACATCGACACACAAAATTTCACGCAGCTGGAGACGCCATGACGATACCAACAAGATCTGAACCACCAAACCGCCCTGAAGTGCCAATTCTCAAGCGCAATGGTTTCCAAATGTGCAAGGATGCTTTCACCGTAAATAACATCAAACGGGTCAGCGGCCCGCGTCTGCTGGACCTGCTTCATATTGACACCATCCCGCGACCAGCTGATAGGATGATTGCCGAGTTGGAGGCGACTAATTTATTCAGTAAAGCTTTTTTCGCGGCTCAGTTGACGTACTATGGCATTCCTTTCTCGCCATCTGTCAAAAGTTCAGAACTGCAAGCCCTGCTTCGCGATGAGGTTTGTGAAGGCAACGTAAGTGGCTTAGAAGCACCCCCTACTCCATCCTAGGCCTAGTTCTCTGATTCATCTTCAAATAGTGTGATAGCGTTCCTGAATCTGTCGTTGAGCTAGAAGCCGCTCTGCGCCGCGAATATGAGCCTCTGTATCGGAAATGGGAGAGCGATTTTGCTGCATGGAGCGCTGAAAAGGAGCGGCTGGATGACGAGAACTTTGAAAAATGCGAAACGCCTAGCGAACAGGCGTATTTCGATATCCGTCGCTTTTTGGACCGTCACTACTTGACAGATGGGAAGCCGGATCGGACCAAGACTCCAGAAACACTAGTGTTAAACACTGAAGGCAGGCTGAGTGATCTGTCTTGGAAGACGAGGCATATCCCCGGCCTTTACTCTTGGAGCAGTACTTGTAACACTATGGAGCCCGTTACATGCTTCATAGGATGGAATGGTGACGAGATCAAGAAATTAGGGAAAGAGTTCGATGATCGCGAGCGAGAGGCTGAGAAAGCTCGGCGAAGGTCAAAGTGGGACGAAAACATGGAAGCCCACAAGCAATACATTGCTCGCACGCAGTCAAAGAATGGGGATACTGACGGAGAGGATGGAGAATCCAAACCACTTGATCTCAGCCGCTTAGCAGGCTCTTACGTTATTCGATGCGATGCTATATTAGACGGATGGGACACTGAATACACGGGAGACACGCTGACGATGGATGTTGCTGTTGCTCCGAGCTCCAATGATATGCTAGTCGCGGCTTATAATCTTGGCATCATCCGAGGAACCATGACGCTTAGTTTGTCCGACGATGCGCTCAAGGAAGTGTTTGATCCTGAGGATGAGGAGTCTGAAGACTCCGTGAGCGATGAAGAAGATGAAAATAATGAGGATGAAGAAGACGATGAGGATAAAAAAGATGATGAAGATGGAATTGATACAGAGCAGCCCACAAGCGGAAAAAAGCGAAAAGCCTCACTACAGCAGGAAGAAGATGAGGATTCGTCTCTACAACAACCCGCAAAGAAGCTCAAGACTGCCACCGAGCCAACCCCGTCTCGCCGTGTCTACCTGCGTCTTGAAGGCTACGAAACTGGCAATGGCGAAGAGTTACATGTCCCTGATCCCGGCTACATCGATTTTACCAGCAATGACTGTATCGCATTTGAAGGACTGATGAAGACCTTGACTTATGTGGGAGACAAGGTCAAGTTTGAAGGCTACAAAATCTCGGACGAGCCACAGAGGGAGCCAGAGCATTTCGAATACGTTTTTCTGGACGAGTTGGCGGAGTCGGATGAGATGGATGAACAGGATATGTTGGATGCGTTGGATATGGTGCATGAGCAGGATGAGTTATATGAGCAGGATGAGTTATATGAGCAAGATGAGTAGGTAGATATGTATAATAGTACTTATTAAAATATTATCTCAGAGCGAAGAGATGGCATTAAGAATCCGGGAAATCGGCTTTTACTTTCTCCTATCTGAGGTATCCTTGTATATAGTCGCATTTCCCGAAAGAAAAAAAAAGAAGCGTCGGGTAAGCTGGCGGATCAGGCCCGAGCCGCGACTACTGCTCCGCATGCTCGGGAAAATGGGTTTTCAACGAAAATATGCAAACCAACTCATTCGTCTATGGATATTATTTGAGTATAGCTCTTCAGATCGTCTTAAACTTCAAAATTTTGCTTTAATAAGGATCTTGCTCACTCCGCAAAGGACACAAGCGTAGCTCGCGTTTGTAAGACTTCAAGGCAGCATCATTTCGCAAGCTACATATCATACATAAATCGCAAGCCCGCTAGCTCTAGGTACTCCATAGCCCTTGTCTGTTTTCGCGTATCTGCTAGCGAGGAGGTATGGAGTGCAGTACATATGTATGTATCTCTAGCGATCAGGAGATAAATCCGATCTACAAATATTAAGTACCGGCCATATCGGACTACGCCTGAGAATTTCTGCGATGCAGGAGTGGACACTCGTTTGTGATGTCTCTTAGCTCAATACCTATTTCTGAAACAAGTGTTCGTTTTCTGGTCTTTCAGTCTAATTTGTCAAAGCGATTCTATATATATGTCTATATTCATCAATGTATGAACCGCCGCTGCGAATGTAGCTGACATCAGCATCTTGCCTATGTTTACATCCATGTATAGCCGGAGCACTGATGCGTGCTATTCGGACGGTATATTTTTGCTATTCGGGCGGTTAAATTTTGCTGCTTAAGTGATGTTTAACTTGTTTAAGAAGGTGAGCCTCATTAACACCACCCAAATAGCAATACTCGCGCTAATATGCCGGAGAAAGAAAACACTCGCAAGCAAAGGGGCCACCATTATGCTTTCAATCGCAACTCTTTTTTCCTGTATTGACTTAGTCGCTCGAACTTTATATCTCGGAACAGTTACTATCAGAACTGAGCGTCTTTGGAGATATATGCTCTGTTCTAAAATTCTGCCAACGGCGTGTCTCCTTTTTTTCGGCCTGTAGTGGGATAACGCAGTAGATTGATTAGTTGTCTGTGTAGCATTGGTTATAGATTATCTTTGATGATCTCAGCTATAAGTGGAGTAGCAGCGTACGTCAAGCTTTACAGTATTTGAGCTTAATCCTGTTTCTTTTATTTCCCCCAGCCACTTGTGGAGGTGAATTCTCCATACTATTTCCCTACAAGGATACTGGTGTTTTCTGATTACCTGATACTATCCTTTGTTAAGTTAGTATGTCAATGCAACTGCCTGCAGTAGGCGGATCAAACGGCTCAGGTACGACAAGCCAGGTTCTCAGTCAAAACACCTACTGTAATAGTATTTCCATACTAGACAGGTAACTCGGCATTCTGCTTACCAAGTTCTGACTACTTTATACGCATTTTTCTTCGGATCTTACTAAGGCTAGTGCATCGGCTTGTCGTTTTAGTGACGGGCAACTGCTGTGCTGCCAGTATGGCCCCCTCGTATACTGCTTTTACCCCGACAATCCAGCGCTATTATGATACCGTGAAATAGGCAGTATCCAGGGTTTTATACTGATTATAGCCTGCAATACTATGCAAATTTATTCTGATGTAACGTTACATTCTTGTATCCTTGATTCATTTTAGAAGGAGAATATGAGAAAAGCACCTGTTTTATCGGATCTCGGCCCCGATAGAGGCGATGAGCCCGACTATCTGTTGTAGGCCCTTAAAAAGGTCGTGATCTCCCAATTCCCAAGTTTTACACTTTTGTTTTGGAGAGGATTTCCAACCACCGATAATAAACCTTGAAATCTCATTTCAGATCTCCTTACAATACAATCAGCTATGCGTTTCGCCGTGGTCCTCGCAACGCTGGTGGGGCTGGCTGTCGCCACTCCGAAGTCACCTATCTTCAAGAGACAGTGCCCTATCCAGCCACAAGATTGCTGTCTCAAGACTGGCACTTGTGATACTTGCTATTACGGAACCGAGCCCTACCCGTGCAACTGCGAGTGCCTGGAAGTCGGTGGCTGCCCCTGCACCGAAATCGACAACGACTATGACCCCCCGCGATGCATTGGCTACTCGGCTGGCGAGTCAGGACATGTGAGCCCCTTAATGTGTCTGACGTTTTTGCTACTCGACAAGGCTAATTGCTACTATAGTGCTAAATGCCTCAAACTTTGTATTAATCGCCGATGCGTTGGAGAAGCGATCGGTCTCAAGGTTATAGTGGCATATTTATCTATGATATGAGGGTAGTCCAAGTACATCCCCCATAACGACACTTTCCTTTCAACGAACGATTATAGAGAAAATGAAATACATGATTTATGCCAAATTTAAGAACATATATTGCTATCAAGTCGAACTGTTATGAACTTTATAAAGCTCAATATAAAGTGGCGGCCGTCTAAGCTCACGTTATTCCGTGCCAGTGGCCGCATTCACCTTGAAGGCCGCCCTTGCATATGGCCAATCGAAGCTCGAAGAAGGATGCATTTGATCGGCCCACCTAGTGATATCTCTTACAAGTACCCCGAATATTTGGGGATCATGTTTCATTCCTTTAGCTTGGCAAGACGCTATAACCCGTTTGAGCTCAATGTTATGCCAGCATCTTACCTAAAACGGATTGGAGTATTCATGTCGCCTTATGAGGCAAAACTACAGTACATGGGAATGTGCAAGCTTGCTTTGCTCTAATTATCGATGAAGGTGTAGAACAGTCTGTCTGGTGATTCTTATAAGATCATCGGATGTGGCTGAGAGCAGCACAGCATTAAGCCGGAAGACTCTAATTAATCGGGGAATTGGGTCAGCGATGGCCCGTCATGGCGGTTAAAGCAAAGTGTGGTGTGAAAAGATTCTATAAATGGGGGATAATTATACATCTAAAATGTAGTTGCCCCTTTATATTCGCCCCAATGGCTAAATGTGGACAGCTTCTCCGCGGTGTTTCGGCAGTGGTGGACGGATAAAAGCAATTCTGGTAGAAGTGGCATTCAATTTATATTGTGAAATACTATTTTAAGCCATTTACGTACGTATTGCCTGATTCGGCCCACCATCAACTTTTTTTGGCAGCCTAACTCACACTTACAATGTTGATTATTTGCGTGTTGTTCTCGCACCAACTCCGTGCGTATGTTGCATACACATCTTCTTTCAGCCAATACGTTGGTCTGATGATCTGACAGCAAATAGCTGATTTGTAGTGTTAGGGGAAGAGTTTATGATTGAAAGGAAATGTCTCAGTTCACCAAGCTGAGACAAGAGATTTGTTGAAACAGTAGCAGCCGCAGATATTCTCGCGGCTAACGGCTCTATAATTGATCATTAAGTCGGAATAGCTGTGTAATTGCGTAGATCTGACGCATGGCCGCTTTCGATGAACAATGTTAAGCCTACGAAGGCGCAAAAGACTTTATGAAGATCAGAAATGAAAGAAGAGTTTTGTTTGCGAATATTAACGATAAAGATACCTCGAATGGTCTCTACTATTAAACCACACCTACCTAGTACCTTATATAATTGGAATACATGTAAGCAGTAGATGGGGTCAAGCCGCTCATCTTCCTCCAACACGTCTCACCGATGCGAGTTTGTATGCCGTCGATGCTAATACAGATATGCAGCAAATTACAAATTGGTAATTGAATGAACTCACATCAACGTACGCAAAACTTGAGGCACTTCACTCGTGAGAATTGGTCGACAGGAAAGGAAAGCTGAAGTCCAAGCTAATTGACGAAATGTGGGACCGACGGCGATCTCTATGTGCAAATAGCTGAGGCAATTCGGCACAAATCGTGGCTGGGAAGCTGAAACACTGCATTCATGACAATGTCATTATAACAGCTGTTTCTCAATTCCATTTCTCCTATCATCCTGCCCAAGGACCAAAGGAATAACTGCTTTCTGATGGACGAAGGGAACGCAGCGCATAGTGGGGTAAACAAACGCCACAGCATCAAACGGCGCAGATCAGTCACGTTTCTAGTCATGTGACTCTCAAAGCCGCCATCCGGAGTTCTAACCAAGAGAAGCGCCGCACTTTGAACAGCCGGCCGGTCCAAACGACGTCCCTCTCCCCAAAACCGACTTCCACCAGCCATTGCGGCCCCGAAACATCGCCAGAACCACCCGAATACCCACGCGCGAGCGCCTTTCCTCTCCTGCAAGCGCCCGAAATGGCCATCCTCCGACATACCGTCGCCCCGCTGCGAGCGGTGCGATGCGCACGCAAGCCTCTCGCCTCCGCGCGAAGCCTCTCCATGACGACTCGACGACAAGGCGGCCACGGCGAGTCACAATTCGAGCCTCCTACCGGATGGCTCTGGGGCGTCAAGCCCGGCGAGAAGCCCGAGGCCGAGGGCTGGGAGTGGCCCATGTACCTGTTCGGCGCCGCCTTTTTGGTCACCGGTGTTGCTCTGGCATTCAAGCCTGATACTTCGTAAGTAGCAGGACATATCGTGACTATGGGATTCGGCATTTCGCATTGCGGCTTCTAGAACCATTCCCTTTGACATTTGGAGCCTTTGGGGACTGGAGAATGGAAAGGCGGAAGTGGCGAAGCTACCGACTTCATTGCGTCATTTTGGCTATATAGCAGTCACTGACTTGTTGAAATCACAGCGTCTCTACCTGGGCTCTTGAGGAGGCACGAAGAAGATTAGAAGCCGAGGGTGTTCTCCCTGACCCTTCAGTAAACGAGAAGAAGAACTAAACCGACGGCATGGGAGCGAGACTAGGGGTGTCATGTTCACACAGGGGGAGGTAGAGGAGGAGGAAATCTTACACGAGGATTTGGGTTCAGCAGCGAGCGGTGGGGCAAACGTTGGGAGTGGCCAACATGTACATGTTTCAGGCATTTTATTTTCCTGGTTTTTCTATCGTTACAGAGATATATGGTCCCTCAATGGCATGAAATATTAGACTGGGTTGTTGGACAAAGAAAACAAAAAACGATTCACGATTTCACCGAATCTTCTCCGTACAGGGGGGTAAATACTTTGCAGCAGACGGCAGATTAAATCTCTTATAACAGCATATCTACATGACGCTAACTAATGTATTCACTCTATCTATCCTCCTTTTTTTCTAAATCCTTACACAGCTGTAGCTCAACAAGGCAGCTAGTCCATCTATCAGAATACGCAATTGCCAAACACATTTAGAAACAGCCGCAGTAGCAACAGTAGCAGTAGCAGCAGCAGTCTAGTAGTAGCAGTAATACCTGATAGCCTTCACGTATGAATGCTATAGCTAGAGTGCTGGATAACAGACTTGGGTTGCTGGATAAATTTTTCTCTTGTTATTATAAAGAGCATATCTACATGACGCTAACTAATGTATTCCCTCTATCGATCCTCCTTTTTGTTATCCTTAAACCTTGACGCTCCACTCGTGCTCAATGTCACCGTACTGAATGGCCTCTATCCATTCCTTGACCTTGAGCGCAAGCTCGCCGGATTCCTCAGTCTCCTTCAGGCCGCAGTCGACAATCTCGCCCTTCCAAGCAATAGACCTCACAGGGCTAACAATAGCTGCAGTACCAGCACCAAAGGCCTCCAACAAGCGGCCCTCCTTGGAGGCATCAGCCAGCTCCTGCATGGTGTACTTGCGCTCGCTGATCTTCCAGCCCTCGGGAGCAAGTCTCTCCCGGGCAAGCTGGAGAATAGAGTCACGGGTCACACCCTCGAGGATGGTGCCGTCAAGAGGAGCAGTGACAAGTTCCTTCTGGCCTGTAGCCTTGTCCTTCATAGCAACGAACATGTTCATGGTGCCGACCTCGGTGACGTACTCCTCCTCGCCGAACAGCCAGAGGTTCTGCTGGTAGCCACGGCTGGCAGCCTCCAGCTGGGGAACGATGCAAGGAGCATAGTTGGCACCGAGCTTCTTGTCGCCAACACCGCCGGGCCAAGCACGGACGGCATAGTTGGTCGCCTCAAGAGAGACGGCCTTGAAACCAGTAGGATAGTAAGGACCGACGGGAGAGGCAATAACGTAGAGCAAGGCAGAGCCGGGAGCGCCGACGCCGAGAGTGCTCTGCGTGCCAATCAGCGTAGGTCGCAGGTAGAGAGAGTAGCCTCGCTGGGCGGGGATGAAGCGGGAGTCGAGCTTGGTGAATTTTGAGATGAGCTCGACAAACTCAGTGGGCTCAAAGGTGGGCAGGGCAATTCGGGCAGCGGACTTGTTGAGGCGGGCCATGTTCTTGTCAGGGCGGAAGAGCCGAATGTCGCCTTGCTTGTCCTTGTAAGCCTTCATGCCCTCGAAGCACTCAAAGGCGTAGTGGAAGACGCAGGTGGCCGGATCCAGAGACAGGTTCTGGTAGGGAGTGATGCGAGGCTCAAGCCATCCTTCGTCCTTGTTCCACTCAATGGCGAGCATGTGATCTGCGATGATGTGTGAATAACAAATAGAGGATATACATCCATAAAGATAATAGGACACTCACCTGTGAACTCCTTGCCAAAGACGAGGTCTTCGGGCTTGCTTAGGCTCTTGGGGCTCTTCGTCTGCTCCACCGAAAGCCTTGAAGCCTCAAGGGGGCGCTGTACAGAGGTAGAAGTGGCCGTAGCCTTGAGGCTGTAGAAGCGAGCAGGGCGAGACGCAGGAAGGAATCGCGAAGCCCGCGAAGCGCTCAAGAGCGCTGTTCTGGGGATGGCCGAACGCATTGTGAGAGTTTCTCTGTGTCGTTTGTCGTCGTCTCCAACAAATTTCTAGCTAGGTTGTCCCAAAGAAGAAATTTCTAGACGCCTCACTAGAGACAATTGTGGCCGGAACAGCAATATTTATATCTCTGCCGTGTCCAATTGAGTCTCCGGGCCAGAGTCCAGGTCATATACAAGTTGAGAACTTCCAGCTGACAAAGAGAGAAGCAACTCGCGACGCCGGAGACCGCGCAAGGCACGGAGAGGACCCTGGACCCCGGAGCGGTACCGGACTACGGGCTTAGTCTTAGTGCAGGATGGATTACGTGCATATTCACCGCTGCCTTATTACAGTGCTGCGATACGGCTATCTATCGATTCTTACAGCAGCAAATTAGCGCTACAGGCTTGGGGCAAACAGTGCAATTTCTTGCGCATCCACGCCGTAGGTACTCGGTGCTTGGGAGAGGCTACTGCTGCGCTGCTCTGTACTTTTCGGGGTACTAATTGAAAACACCAACTTGGAAGCCCGAAGGTACCCGTTGCGTGATGCCGCGTCAGGCCGCTTTGCAGCAAATGTCGTCGGTTAATTTGCTGCTGGTGCCAGGAAGGAGTATGACGAGTAAGCAAAGGGAGATTGGACCGTCACCGATATAGGAGCGTGCGCCTTTGAAAATGACTGTCTTGATCATGTTTGTGTCCCTGGGATGGTCAGCCTTCTAATACAATCCAGCTCTTACTTACAGAGGAAATTCTTCCATATATGCCCGAGAGACGGCCGCCTCTTACTCCGTAGCAATTTTTCTTAGTCAGGCGTCGTTGTACCTAATCTGCAGCACCTCAGCACTGTGGCTTGGTGGTGTGGCGCAGAGACCGAAGCTCTGATGCATCATGTTATCATTTTGGCCAATGACAGCGGGGAGCTACGAATAGCATCAAACGCACGTCGCACTCCATATCTTGTAGCTCGATCCAAAACGCGTGTCATCGCTCAGCCTCGCCGCGATACGTCAGGGACACTCGCAACACGCAGCTCAATTCATTCAGCTGAACAACGGAAAGGTCTTGGTATAGACACTAACACTAATCTGCATTGTCTGAACTGCGCCGGGCGCACCAACAACCTGCCATCAGGCCATTTTGGCGCATTCCACGAGTCTCTCCTTAATCGCTGTCCCGGTCCGCAATGAGCCCTTAATTACTTCCGTAGACGACGCTGCAACAGTCTGCTCTCTCCCACGCGACGCATCATGTTCTCCTCTGCGCTCAAGTCCTTTTCCAGCACCAACATCTCCTCCAACTATACCGTATCGCCAAATCCCACCTCGACGGCCGGGCCGTGGAAGATCTACGATGCTAAGAAGAAGTCCACCGGCAAGGCGTACAGCGTCTTCGCCTTTGACAAAAAGTCCCTGGACGCGCACGGCAGCTCTGTCGGCAAGGGCAATGCCGCATCCTACAAGCGCAGCGTCGAGGAAGTGGTGGAGCGCCTGAAGAAAGAAGCGTCCAGTTTGGCTAAGCTGCGGCATCCCAGCATTCTCGAGCTCGTTGAGCCGGTGGAGGAAACCAGAGGCGGCGGTTTGCAATTTGTGACAGAAGCAGTGACTGCGTCTCTGTCCAGCTTGTTGCAGGAAAAGGACGAACAAGAGCGTTCTGGTGGCCCTGGCGGCAGATCGAGTCGATACGTGACGGAAGATGCCGACGGCGTGCGCAGAAGAAGAGAGATTGAGATTGATGAGCTGGAGATTCAAAAGGGACTGCTGCAAATTAGCAAAGCATTGGAGTTTCTACATGATAACGCCGGTCTGGTCCACGGTAACTTGACGCCTGATGCAGTGCTTATCAACGCCAAGGCATGTTCATGTCCACCTTTTCAACCTATATGTCTTCCTGTGTAGGGTTCGACAACTGACCATGCAACAGTCTGATTGGAAGATAAGCGGACTTTCTTTCTGCAGTCCTGCAGATGGTTCGACAAAGCCTACCTCGATCCAGGGCATCAGCCTACACGAAGTCCTCAACCTAGACCCGAGGCTACCCAAATTTGTCCAACTAAACTTGGACTTCACTTCTCCTGATTTTGTCATGGATAATAACCTAACCGCATCTGCTGATATGTTCTCGCTCGGCTTGCTCTCCGTTGCTCTCTATAATTCACCGCATCAGTCACCAATCGAAGCGCATGGGAGCCCCTCTTCATATAAGAGGATCTTTTCTTCATCTTCCACCGTCCCAACAACCACAAACAATTACCTTTCCTCCAGACCACTACCCAGGGACCTATCCAATCATGTGCTGCCGAAGCTCATCGCGAGGAGGCCTGCGCAGAGAATGACTGCCAGAGAGTTTCAACAAAGCGAATATTTCGACAACGTCCTTGTTTCTACTATCCGCTTTCTCGATACCTTTCCGGCAAAGACTCCCAACGAAAAGTCAGCATTCTTGCGGGGCCTTAACAAAGTCTTGCCTTCCTTTCCAAAGTCGGTTTTAGAAAAGAAACTATTGCCGGCGTTGTTGGATGAAATGAAGGATAAGGATCTTCTCTCGCCGATCTTGCAAAACGTCTTCAAGATACTCACTCTACTGCCGACGGCTCGAAGAGCGTTCAGCGAAAGAGTACGACCAGCCTTGAAGAGCGTATTTGTGGAAAACGCAAAGCAGAGCCAAGAGAAAGACCCAGCCCGAGATGCTGGTTTGATGGTCTTTTTAGAGAACATTGCAGTGATAGCCAACAACAGTAATGGAGGAGAGTTTAAAGATGGTGAGTCCTTTCCTAACAGCTTGTGCCTAAAGACGATGGTGTACTGACACGGATGCTATAGATGTTCTGCCCGTTATCCTTGCTGCCATTGAATGCCCCACACCATCAATCGTGGATGCAGCACTGAGAAGCTTTGCTGTGGTGCTGCCTGTTCTGGACTTTAGTACTATCAAGAACGAGCTATTCCCCGTTGTCTCCGTTGTCTTTAGTCGAACAAATAGCCTTGCCATCAAAGTCCGTGGACTTCAAGCATTCGTCGTTCTCTGCGGCGGCTCCAACGAATCCAGCGCAGATGACGGCGGCCTCAGCGGGCTGGAAGGAAACAAGAAGACTTCTTCATCCAGCGCACTCGACAAGTACACCATGCAAGAAAAGATTGTGCCCTTGGTCAAAGGCATCAAGACCAAGGAACCCGCCGTCATGATGGCAGCTCGGGACTTGATGTACGTGGTCGGACAAAACGCTGACGCCGAGTTTGTGGCCATGGATATCCTACCAATCCTATGGAATATGAGTTTAGGACCGCTGCTTAACCTCAAACAGTTCCAATCATTCATGGACCTCATCAAGACTTTGTCACGCAAGGTCGAGGACGAACAGACGAAGAAATTACAAGAGCTGTCAGGATCGATCAATGGATCAACAGCTGCTCCAAACGAAGACTTTATGGCTTTCGGCGGCCTGACAGGAACTGCTTTCGATGCCACTAATGGCGGCAACGAAGACGACTTTGAAGCCCTGGTGAAGGGCACAGCTGGCGGCTCTTCCAGCGCTGCAAGGACGCCCAGCTGGGACGACGCACCGAGTGCCGCTGCCTCTGTGAATCGATCATCAACGGCCACACCACAGACACCATCCTTTTCCTGGTCGACTCCACGCGCCATGAGCCCTCCCGTGAAGCAACCAAGCACCCTACAGACCCAGCAGCCTTCTTTCCGAACAGTCACCCCCGACCTCAACCGCTTCGAAGTCATGACTCCAAGCTCAACCCAGTTCAGCCAGCCCCTGCAACCAACATCACAGCAACCGAGTTTCCAGCAAACGCCAGCGCAGTCCACGACATCTGCACCAAGCTTCGGCTGGTCATCCACCTCTACGTCCACTAACAAGAGCTTCTCGCCGCCTCCCCTGACACCAAACTACTCCTCCAACATGTCCAACTCCAGCGCTACATTCGGTACTACAGGCATGGCCAATTCCATGTCCAACATGTCACTAAACTCGATCAACTCCCAAAGACCCGCAATGAGCGATGCCCGAGGCTCATCCTTCTCTCTGGCCCCACCGCCAGGCAGCAACTCCGGGACATCAGGATTCAGTCTCGCACCGCCCCCGGCAGCGTCTCAAAATGTATGGAGCTCAGCAGGTTCAGGCAGCTCGCTGTCTCAACAGCAGAAACCAATGGGCTTTGGGGGAATTGGTAATAGCAGCCCGATGGGTGGCAGTTCCTTGGCCCAACCCCAGCAGCAGCAACAACAAAAGTCTGGTCTAGATAAGTATGAAAGTCTGATTTAGCAAACGAGCTCTTTCCCCCCCTTTGATCTGTTCAGTAGCGATTCATATCTTTCTTAAACTGGTTAGAAGTCTTGAAGGAATAAAAAGGGTAGTTCTTACTATAATCAGCGGTGGAGGCAAGATGATCATCCTGTAAGGCAAGGTATAAGAGACCAACTACCTGCAAAGCAAAGCATTATAAGCGAGATGGAAGCGTAAAAAGACAGATGAGCAGGGGTTTGTTGTATAGTACTGTAACAAAGAAACCCAATGAGGACAAGTCGTATTCACTGGGTAATGTTCAATTTACGTTTCTGGACATAGGCAAAGAGGCGGAAAGCAAATGTATAGATACCAATTAAAGAAGAAAAACCGAGGCGTCAGGCCCAACGTCCATCTTTCTTTGAAAAGAAATTGAATAAAGGCAGGCCTCGCTTGACGATCAATGGCTTGAGCCTTCATAAGGGCCTTTTTCTTTTTCCTTTTTACGGTTTCTGCGTTTTCTCCTAAAGACTATTCACTTTTCATTCTAGCCTTTTTCCGACTTTGCATATCCCCATCTCAACAAGGCAATAAAAAACCCACAATTATAGTGCTCAAAGCGACACTAAACCCCCCAAACTAAGGCCCGAAGCTGACCCCCTTTGCTTACAAGACTACCTAACACACCCCCCCGTCTTACACAAGACAAACACCATCTCCTTACGGTAAAGTAACTTCCAAATCGCCCGCTGTGGTGGTCTTAGCTGAACACGAAAGAGAAAAAATCGCCGAGGCATTTAAAAAGTTTGGAGAATGAAAGGAGCAGGTAGTAACAAGAAGAAAAACACAGAACCCTTTTGTATTTCTACTAGTAGTAGTATAGATCAATTCTCTCTATACGGATGGAACGTCTAAACAGCTTTTTTTTTTTTTTTGTCTTCTCTCTTCCTCTTTTGGTCATGTCGTCCGTCCAAATTAGCAACAGAACTCACTCTTCTCTCAGAAAGTCTAACAGTCTCCACCAATTCCCATTGCTGTCCCTTGTATGTGTATATCCCTAGGTACTATAAAAGAAAAGAAGAAGAAGGGAACAAGTCTTTACGGGTGGCAGCGTATCAAAGCTCGTTTGAAATAAGTACCCACGAGTTTAAAAGTAGGTGTAGAATGAGAAAGGAAATCTGACAGAAATGAAAAGTGAAAAGGGCCGCGCATCGTAAAACAAGTCCTAAACTCCGTATGGCCCCGCTAAATCTCATCTTAGAGGCGCAGAAAAACGCGAGGTATATCAGCAGAAAGAGAAAAATGAGACACGCAAAGAGAGAGACAAGGAAATAAATAGAAATAGAAGAAAGAAAAAAGACTCAAGGCGGTATCGTCTTGTGTAAAGAAAATCGGCCTTCCTTTTTGTGAATATGGTCAAGCATAGGCGTCGGAGTCTGGTGAGCATCTTCGAGTCTTATGCCCACTTTAGGCGTTCTTGGTGGTGCCATTGGTCACCTTGGGGCTCCTGCTACCTCTGCCACTCCTCGCATTCTTGACGTCTCTGCCATTTTTGGCGTCTTTGGGTTCTTTTTCAGCCTTGGCAGAGCTATTCTCAGCAGCCTTGTTGGAGGTAAAGACATGGCGGCTTGCATAGCCGTCCTCGGTGCGCACACTAATCTTCTGATCCACGGGCACCATCTCGTGGACAAGCGGCCAGTCGAGCTGTCGGCAGAGCTCCGCCACGACGACGTCGCAGTCGCCCAGCAGGTCAATGTCAAAGTTGATGTGGCTGACGGCCTGGCGAGAAACGTAAATCTGCGGGATATGCGGCGGCAGGAAGCTGACAATCTCCGACACTGGCGTAACCTTGAGCGAAGTGCCAATGACAATGACCAGGTCCACCTTGTCGCGGTCGTTCTCCGTGAGGCGGCGCGAAAACTCGTCAGGCAGGGCCTCGCCAAAGAAGGTGATGTCGGGCTTCATGACGCCTGTGGTGGGAATGTCGTATTCCGACGTGTCGTCTGAGCTATCGTTGTCGGTCCAGCGTCGTCTCTTCTTCTCGGCGCCAGCAGATCGCTTTCGCTTGGGCGCAGCGCCAGACGCCTTGAGTGTTGAGAGGCATCGCGTGCACTTGGGAATCTTGCCCGCTCTGATATCCGGGAAGATCTTCTCGCCTGGAATCTGGTAGTGACACTGGACACAGCTTGCAGTTCCGAATGAGCCATGGCACTGGATCAGCTTCTCCTTGGGCAGGCCGGCCTTGACCTCTAGGTTGTCGATGTTCTGAGAGTAGTTGGTAAGCAGTTTGCCGCGCTCGTGAAGCATGGCCAAGAACTTGTGGGTGGGCGTATATCGATCGGTTGAGGGGATGATGTCCTTGGCAACCGAGTAGAAAATAGTTGGATCTTGCTTGAACGTCTCAATGTCAAAGACCTCCTGGGGGTCGTTGAGGCCCAGGTGCTCCAGCTTCGAGTACAGACCTGTGCCCGCCGATCGAAAGTCCGGGATGCCCAGAGACGTGGAAATGCCGGCGCCGGTGATGACGACGATGTTGTTGCACTTTCTGATGAGCTCCACGGCGTCCGGAACGGAGTTGTAGCGCGTCAGCTTGGCCCTCTTGGACAGTTCACGCGTAATGGCCAGCGAGAGAAGGCTGAAGTAGGCCTCGTCCGGCTGGCCGTCCAGAAACGCAGGTGGCCGGATGCCAAAGGCGCTGAGCAGCTTTTTGGCGCTGTAGCGACCAGCGTCGACTGTGCGCTGGCAGAAGACCGCCGGTCCCTGGTCGCGCAGTTCACGACGCAGTCTGCAGGCCTCTTCAGGCGTGCAGGTATCTGGCCCTGTGAGTTGGAGACGAGTTAGTGAGGCTTTTGGAGATTTCGAGCACTTCGCCACTGGTGCTGGCCCATCACCACCAGCGGCCTTTTTGCCCTGTTTTGCCTTTGTAGTCATTGTAGAACCATCTGAGCACAAAATCACAAACTAGGCGTCTTGGCTGTGGCCACTTGGCCCTGATTCATACTAGAGAGGGCAAAACGAAGCCACAGCCACGAAAGCTGCTCGCCCGCGTATTCTGCCACACGACAAAGTCGCAATGGAACCTGGTCTTGCGATCTTGCGTGTAGTAGAAACAGCAAAGGGATCAAAAAAGATGCAAAGCAGATGAAAACAACGCACAACAAAAAGACAAGAAATCAGAAATCAGTGGCAACTTACTCCCAGAATACACTCCACTCTCTTCCGTCAGTTCCTCCAGCGCATCCTCAAACAGCGAGTCCGTCTCCCACGAGTCGCGCACATCTGCAACTCTCTCCTCCAGCTCGGCGAGCGAAACGTTGACGGATGCCTCTTTGATCTCCTCAATCGTCGCATTCTCAGGCAGGTGATCCAGCGCATCCAGCCGCGCCTGAGAGCGCTTTGCGAGGGCCACGCCCTTTTTGCCTGCAGGCGCCCGTTTCATTTTCTCAAGTTTCCTTTGTTTTCTTCTTTTTGGGTGCTGTTTTTCGTCTTCTTCGCCTTATGCGCGTCTAGTGTAATGTGGCGTGATGCGGTTGCTTCCCAATCTCTTTGTTGGGTGAGAAGAGAGCAAGCAGCCAACGTGGCAAAAAGGCGTGAAAAAAAGAGTTATGATGTATGAATGAAGGAAACAACTCAGGCCTCAAACAAGGCCAAAAACGCCGGGACACGGGCAACAGAGACAACGAACACTATAATAGGGTTTTGATAAGAATGATGTTAAGTAGAGAAATGAAAAACGACAGCGAGATGTGAATCAAGTGAATCAAAGTTGTGGAACCGAGCCCGAAAGTTGCCGCGAGAGGTCGCTGGAAAATGCCGAGTTGCCACGCGTTGAAAGGACGAGGATGAAGTTGATGCCAAAGGAAGGGCAGGGGTGGTTGGTTGAAGCTCAGATCAAATCTGGACCTCTGGGGCTTTTTTTCTTATTCCGTCGTATTCTGGCCGGTTATGGCTCTCTCCAATTGCTCGTGATGATTAATGGATCAAGACCAGGGAAGCGATTAAGTTACGCACTTCCCCTAAAACAGCATAAGGTCAGAGCGAAATATGGAGGGGGTGGGCAAAAAAAAAATTGGGAACTGAGATGAGAAAACGGGCGAAGAGATCAAACTAAAGAGAAGGTGATCAAACTAAACGGAAAGTGAGGATCCTGGGAGGTGGAAGAAGAGAGAAGGGCACAGACGGAGGCAGCGAAAAATGGCAGGATTAGGAAAGGCGAAAATGCCTAGATTGGGTTGAATTAAAGAGAAGGCTGAGATTTGGTGGTGCTAGAAGGAAAAAAAAGGGAAAAAGGCCAAAGGGGGTGGAGGGAGGAGATATGGAGTACGTATTAATAGATTAAATTAACATGGTCGTACCTTGGTAGTGGTACGTCAGGTCGACTTTTTGTTGCCTCAGTGGGAAGAGAGAGCAGTCGAGAACAAAGGCGGCGACAGATACGGATGGCTAATGCTGATGGCCGATAGACGGGGGCTGCTTTGATGATGGTAAGCACAGAGTTGTTTAAGCAAGGAAGTAGATGAATAGCAACCGCAATAAGAAAAAACTGGGTGGCGGCCACGACTATCGATCGACAAACGGACGGGGCCTATCTATAGGGATGGACAGACAGCGATGACGAGAAGGAAGAATAGAAGATCAAAACGGAGCCGAGGAGGAAAAGAATAGAAACAAGCACGGAAATGAATCGCCAACAACAGTCTGAATTAAATTGGCTTCTATCCCTGACTTGTCACAATCGTCCACGTTGATGCCTTAGTATTGCGTACTAGCAGTAGTAGTGTGGTATTAGGTATTAGTAGTAGTCGCTGCTCTGCGTCCATATTAAACGGCAGCCAAGGTGAGAAAATAAAAAGCAACGAGAGAGATAAAACATGGCGGTCCATCCGGGACCAGAAGGCTAGTGTGACCATTCAGAGACATACATGACATTACATATTACTACTTGTGTACTTATAAGACGCATCCATGGCGTTGCACGCACTGTCCAGCACAACTCGTTTTATCCTCCTTTGAGATATTTATCCAGAGCATCATCACTCGCTAGAAAAGACACAAAGAAGTGACTAATAGCTGCTACTTGACGCCCAAAATGGACGGATATATTCCTTTCCAGGGTGTATGTCCTCAAAAGCTGAAAACAAAGGCGCAGCTCTGCCCGTCATCTGTCACTTTCCCGCATTGAGCAGCGTCGCTCCACACCCACTCTCATTTCGTTTCATTTCACGCTTTGCCGCCCATGTGAAAAAAAGGAACTTGTCAAACGAAGCAAAGAGCAGGAATAAAAGAGCAAATATTATCAACTCTATCTATTCTATCTATTCTCGTTCCTCATTAGCACATTTCCTTTTTTGTCACAACACCATGCTTCCCTTTGTTTTTTCTTTTTAAACGGCCCCCCCATCTCGGAAACGCACAGCAATATTAGTCTCTTTCTCCCCATCCGACCCGGAATGCCGCATATCATGTACAAGAGGAATGCAGCAAAACACCTCAATCCGTACAAACCACACACCGAGATAAAAAAAGAAAAGACGAAAACTAGCGGAAGCACTCTTCCGACGTCCTTTTCTCCCACCCCTCCCTTCTGCCATCTCTCCCTCTTTTTTTTTTCTCCCACTCCCCAGATTCAGATGATAATCAGAAGTGGCAACACGTGTTTCGACACGGAGACTTAAGATAGATTCTCCCCATCTCTCTCTCGTTCTCGTGGTCTAAGCTGAATACTTGCTAGCTGGGTGCTACACGCTACTACTTGTACATTCATGCCTCAGTACATGTATCTAGTTAGATCACGATCCATGCAAGAATGCCTGCCCTTGCTTTCTTTCCTTTCCGACTTCATATTAATTAATAGGATTGGGACTTGATTACCCGCCCAGCAACTCAGCCTTCTTCCACAGCTGTGCTCCTCACCGAATCTCCTCTACCAAATAATCCCACTCGACCGCGGCACAATTCAAGCAATCAAATCAAATAATACTCAAAGTACAAACTGCCTAATATCCCGTATTACAAAAGTTTGTCTCTTCATCACCACCTAATATCAGTAGGTTCCCCGTACAGTACAGTATTATAACAAAAAAAGCGCCCGCCCCAACTAGTACGCCTCGGGTAGTATAACCAGCAAAGCAAGCAAGCAAGCAAGGATTACGACAAATCAGAGAGAGACCTCTCAATAGCGGCAACAAACATCATCTAGTGCATCCCACCATGCATCAATCAATTAATTAAAAAAGGCAAACAACAAAAAAAAAAAAAAAACGCACACACCGTTCCAATACAGCCTATACCTCAGCCCTTTATTTTTTATTTTTAGGCTCCCATCCTTCCCAATCCCAAACTCCCAACCAACCACCCCTCAATCCCAATCCTTTCCTTTTTGCTTTTTTGTGACTCCCTTGCGCCATTAGCTGCATCTTCTCTTGTATATGTCTGACACATTCTCAACTGTTGGCAGATACTATTGACTAGGTAGGTAGCTTACACTAATGCCATGTTAATGCAAAGAGGATGCACTGTTGGAGGAAGTAAAACAAATAGTAGGTAGTTACTGAGAGATAACGTATGTATCCATGTAGTTTGTATACAAAGAAACCATTAGATAAGTTACGGTAGCAATAATGCCGCAAGCCTCTTTTCGCCCACCAGCATGCAACCAACCCAGGTGGACAAACATTCGGGCACTCCGAGTCACTCTTATACATGCGAGTCAAACCCAGTCTAACTCGGCTATTGCTGCTGCCATTACCGACCGATCACAACTTTTTGAACAAGCACCATTTAGAACACCTTCACATACTGACGCCTTGAAAGAAGAAAAGGACAGCTTGAGGAGTCGGGCGTGCACATTATAAGCCATACACACTTACGTAATTTGAGAATAAAAAGAAGTAAGAGGAGAGGAAAGTGTAAAGAGGAATAGGAAACCCCCCATCTCACCTTTATTATAATAATAGTAGTAATAACGATATACTGTAAGAGAATAAAAAAGTCCATTATATAAATACGTGCCACTTTATTCTCATCCCAACCGCCTTCAACGCAAAAGAGAAAAAAAAAGTGAATTACCGTCTATCAATATCAAATCAAGTGCTACCGGCACCCTATGTTTATGCGTTTAGGCATCTCTAGAACAAAGATGCAAAAGAAGTAGAAAGGGTAAAGGGAGTGTTGAAAGAAAAAGAAAGTAGTATAAACAGTCGTTATAACCAGGGGAATCATATTATGCAAGCCTTTCAACTCCTTTTACGCCTCATTTTTGCGCCTCGCTATTCTGGCCCTCTGCGGGCTTTGGTGATCCCTGCTCCGGGCTTTCTCCTGTTCTCTGTTGGTTTAATTGATGCTGATAATGTTGCATCATGGCCTCTCTGTCTTCAGCTGACGGCCGGCCAATCGGTGACCATCCTGCTGCTACTCCAGCAGCCACGATTCCGGCCATGACTGTGGGTGCTCCGAGGGCAGAGTTGGAGCGTGACCGGGCTGACCGGGAACGCTGCCGCGATACCGGCGTGGCAACGCGCGACGGGAAGCTGTCTTCTCGGCCCGGCGTATCGGTCGTCAGGACAGAGTTGGACCGCGAATGAGACGGGCTCCTTGACCGCGTAATCATTTCTTTGGGGTGTTGGATCGCAAACTTTAGGTTGTTCAGGCGCCCTCCCTTCATGCGCCTGAGGAAGTTAAGTTCGTCGCGCACTTCGACCAATGGCTCGGGATACATGTCCATCTCCTCATCAGAGATCGTCAAGCCGGGCACCTGTTTCGCTCGACGCCTGAAGAATTCTGGCACCAATTTGATAACAAAGCTGTCTGGAATAAGACGAATAAGAACGCCGATTGGGATGGAGAGGAATCCGAGGACAAGGGCAATGCCCCACATTCCTCCGGACTGGTCTTTGCTTGCAATCGAGAAAGCAGCACCGCCCACGAAGATGATCAGAACCTGGCCACCCATCATGAGAGTGCTGATGGCGATAAAGAACCAGTTGCGTGTCAGGCCTTCAAAGATGTTGAATTTGTTATCCAAGCGTCGATTGCTGATAGAAGGGGGAAAAAAAAGAGGGTTAGCACTCAAATCTATACAAAACTTTTCGGTGGTTAGAGATATACATACTTCCATTGATTAAAGATCTGCATCCAGACGAATGTATTAAAGACCAGAGTCTCAATGTCGGCTGTGGTAATTTCGCCTCCAACAATAGGCTGGACCACTTTGCTGCCGCCAAAATACAACAGGAATGTAATAGCCAATTGGTACACCGCTTGTCCGATAATCATCTTCCACATGGTTGGTGAGATGATGGATGAGCCTTTGGGCTCAGGCTTCCTGTCCAAAACACTATCCTGCGGCGGATCTGTGGCGAGAGCGAGAGCTGCCAGTGTGTCCATGATGAGGTTGACCCAAAGCAGCTGAACAGCCGTGAGGACAGATTTCTCGGACAC